GGTATTCGGTTGATTTTCTTAGAACGGTTTGTTTCTTCAATGGAAAATTTAGTTTGTTAATCCTTTTACAACATGAAAGTCCGAAACTGCGTATTTTCTAATGAAAATAAATTCTTTTCGAAAAACATGGTTAGGCAGGTAGTCATTTTAAGCCGGTAGTGTGTGGGTAAACACACAGTTGTAAATATTCTCGGCCTCTGTCACGTGCTGAAAACCCGTGCCAGATCAGTTGATTCATATGAAAAAAATATTTGTTACACTTTTCATCCCTTCTAGAAATGGCTCCAAAAAATGCGTAAATTAAGTAAATAAGAGTAACGCTTTTACCGTTATGTCCCTTCATTAAAAAAAATATTGCTTCACACTTAAGAGGATTCCTTCCGTATTTTTCTTATGGGAGACTCAATACATCTACCCGAACAAATATCTTGCCAACCATCAACAATATTGACTAAAATTTTATATGTATGTAATGTTCTTAATATTCTCAACAGAACGGATTTAGAAAAATTTAAATTTTCGTTCGGTATCATTTCGAAATTAAGGGCATAATTAAACCAAATAGGTATTATAGGTTTAGCTTTAAGGCTTTATCAATCGAAAAGTAGTAATTTGCAAAAACGGTCGTGGAGATACTATGTTTAAAATTAGCTTGCTGAAAATCAGAACTTAAAATTTTAATAAATAATTGAGTATTTAAGACGTAACGATTAACCATCTGAAATTTCTTCGTCTCATTTTGATTTACAACAGACCATCATAATTAGCCGCCGTTTGTGTCTGGGTTGATTTATGGCAATCCCTTCTAAAGGATCCGGACAGTTGGGTTTTTGTAATTGCAAGAGATTACTGTGTAGGTAAATATACAATAAGTTTCTGTGTTCTGAGAATAAATAATATCCTTGCAAATTACTGGTACAAATTTACCTGTTTGTTCGGTCTAGTCACCAGACCATTTACTTGTCGAATTTTGTCTAGTGCTGTGTGTCTTGTCTTGTGTTTTTTTTTCGTATATTTTATTTCGTTGGATTTTAATCAAAACAGTCTTTTTACTTCCCGAGCGTAAGCAAAGGAAGTATTGTAATCGAGTCCGTCGGCCGACTCTCTACTTTTACGTTTTCTCGATCTTTCATGACCCCTAGAATACGCAGAAATAGGTCTCCCATTTCCGTCTGTCTGTCCGTCTGTCCGTCTGTCCGTCTGTCCGTCTGCCTGCCGTCCCGGATTTTTATTAGACAGATAATCTCCGAAAGTACTGGATCGATTGTTGTGAAATTTTGTACTTATATTAGGAATATCATGTAGATGGTAAAACGCTAACCAAAATTTGTTTAATCATCCCCACCATTAATGCGATGACGTCACTTCAAAATTGTACATAGTAAATGGGTCTTAAATTGTATAAAATAACATAGTCCTATACATGTCGTTTACGACTCCGAATTGAGTTTTTACCCGAAACGTCCAGATTTTTGGAAAAAAAAATCAAAATTATAAAACAACATTTTCCAATTTAATTTTGAATCTGCTAACCCGAATGTTTTGAAATGTTGCAGATGTTTTAAGGCTCTAAAGAGTAATATAAATCTTTAGTCAAAATATATTTGGTTATCCCCTCCAAAAACTTGATGACGTCAGCTCAAAAGTTTGCCGAATAAATCCTATTTAAAATGTACAAAATATGATGCGTCTGTACTTGTGATATATCACTCCATTCATATTTTTTGGATTTGCATATACAGGGTGACTCAAAAAAAATAATGAATGCGTCAATTTATTTTATTGATTTAATCAGGAATTACAGAACCGAATGCTGTGAAATCTTGGAGATATTTTAAAGTTATCATAAGCATGGTAAATTTTTGATCAAAATGTATTTGGTTGTCTCCCCTAAAAAGTTTATGACGTCACCACAAAATTTTGCTGAATAAATCCTATCTAAAATGTACAAAATATGACAATAGACAAAATTCAACAAGTAAATGGTCTGGTGACCAGACCGAACAAACAGCTAAATTTGTACCAGTAATTTGCAAGGATATTATTTATTCTCAGAACACAGAAACTTATTGTATATTTACCTACACAGTAATCTCTTGCAATTACAAAAACCCAACTGTCCGGATCCTTTAGAAGGGATTGCCATAAATCAACCCAGACACAAACGGCGGCTAATTATGATGGTCTATTGTAAATCAAAATGAAACGAAGAAATTTCAGATGGTTAATCGTTACGTCTTAAATACTCAATTATTTATTAAAATTTTAAGTTCTGATTTTCAGCAAGCTAATTTTAAACATAGTATCTCCACGACCGTTTTTGCAAATTACTACTTTTCGATTGATAAAGCCTTAAAGCTAAACCTATGATATTTGGTTTAATTATGCCCTTAATTTCGAAATGATACCAAACGAAAATTTAAATTTTTCTAAATCCGTTCTGTTGAGAATATTAAGAACATTACATACATATAAAATTTTAGTCAATATTGTTGATGGTTCACAAGATACTTGTTCGGGTAGATGTATTGAGTCTCCCATAAGAAAAATACGGAAGGAATCCTCTTAAGTTTTTACTCTAGACATCGAGATTTTTGGGAAAGAATTCAAAATTGTATTTTACAATTTAACTTGAAAATTGCAAAAGCGAATTTACTGAAATATTCCAAACGTTTTAAGGTTATAGCAATTTTATAAAATAACATATTCCTGAATGTATGATTTATGAATCCGTGTTGAGTTTTTACCCTTAGCATCTAGATTTTTGGAAAGAAAGTCAACATTGTATACCAATATTTTACAATGTAACTTTGAAATTCCAAAACCGAATGCTGTGAAATCGTGCAAATATTTTAAGATTATTTGAAACATGGTAATTCGTTGGTCAAAATTTGTTCGTCGTCTTACATTTTTGCCGAATTTGCTCAAATTTGTGAGTGTTTTTTGGAAAAAAATTGAGTGTGAATTAATCAATTAGTAAAATGACTGCATTTGAAACAGATCTTACTGATTGTAAAATAAACTTCTATTTATTTATGTTTACAAATTTTATTTCTTTATCAACTAAAAACCCACAGGAAATAACAAAAACGTTGCCTAACTTACGGCGGATCCTAAAAGTCATAACTTTCCAATTTTTTAAGGATTGTCTCATTATCTATGCAATCAAAAACCTTGCTGAAGTCGTAAAATATGATGACACGATATTGATTTTTCTTCAAACAACAATACAACTATAAATATAGTTTATTGCATCAGATGCAGAGAGGCTGCCGGAAAAGCCAAACAGATTGTGATTCAGAATTTTATTCGTCTGATATGTTTGTCGAGACACAATAAAAACAATGCTCATCTTTCAGAAACAATATATTATCAAAACCGCCTGTAATTATTTATATCGTGGATATCATGTTTTTATGTACTGAAATTACTTCACCAACGTTCAGTCTGCCTGGAAAAATGCCAGTTTCAAACTAAAGATTGATTTCCACTGTTAATTCACTGACGACAGAGATTATTTTTTGGTTTTAATTTACAAGATATTATTCTTGTGGAAAAAGCGACAATACTTACCACATTTTTTCGTTACTTATTATTATTAATATTTAAGACTTTTGTTTTACTCTGTTGATTAGTCTCTACTGAAAGAAGGTGTATTAGCATTTAATGTATAATTCTAAATCACCGTTTCTTCCTTAAAAAAAAAAATCAATAAATAATCAACTTTTTTTTTCTTCTTTGAATATTGTTTTTTAGAACTTTTTTAAAGTAACGTCAATCGGGTATTCTTCAGTTGCTCGAGCTAACGAATACCAGAAATTTCTAGACTTTTCGGATCACTCTCGGCGTTCTTTTACATTAGTGATGGTCATGGGTGGAGCATGGTAAATGTATCTAAAAGAAAAAAAAAACATGCTATTTTCTAATATTTTACACGATTCTAAATAGAATTAGATATTATCAACACGATCTGTTTTAAACTTCATATTGTTAGGATACAACTTCAATACATAAAAATGATAAAGAAGTAAGTACTTGTAATGGACTCAACTACAAGATGGCAAGTTGGCAAGTTCTACAAGCACAAAATTTCAAAAATGTTAAATAGAAATTTTCTTAAAGTGAAACGTTACAGTAGGACAGAATTTTAAGGTCTTTAGATAATTCGCATTTGTAAATGTAAAATATCGACAATATCAGTCGCTGTTGATCCGGTCGTAAAAGAAGTATAATACGAAACACGTGCCAAAACACCATGCTTGCTCAACCACAACGTTCACATTCTTGAAAAATTCTACCTCCTTTATTTGGTCAAAATTAAATAAACCCAATTAACGTCCACGACCAAAATGTGTCGGTCTTAATGGCCCGGAAAGTAGTGGGGGTAACTACCCCCGGAAATCGTTTTATCAACGAAGGCCATGGCTTAGTGGGGTCATTCGTAACGCAGTCGGCTTCGGAAACGGTAGTGTTTTGTTTGTTGTACATCTGTCAACGGACACGTGCTCTCGCCTACTTGATTCAATTACCGAGTAAGGTAAGTGTGGTTTGGGTGCTAATTAGAGATTAGCGGCGGAGGGGGGGAGTAAAGTGTTACGTATTGTTAATATACTTGAAATAAATAATATAAAAAAATAGATAATTTCTCATACGTAAAAAAGTTAGCTTCTCTTTTTCGATATTTTGTTGAAGTGTGTGACTGTGTGATTGTTGCAAAATAGCGTTCAGTTTTCGTTAATATTAAATCTTAAATTAGTGCAAAATAACGATCAAAACGCCAAAATTACTAATTTTGTGCGACCGGTCCGAAAAATCCCATCGCGTATTCGCTCTCCATTTTGCATTTGAAATGAATGAAACGGAAAAAATGATAATGGCAATTGAAAATCGGTGATAATAAGTTTCCTTTTCCTGTCAGTATGGTCAAACAGGGCTTTTATATAGGCAAGGATACGGATATCCTGTCTATGGACGTCCTTTACATGTGTGCGTTTATTACAAATGTATGTAAATAATGCCCTCCTCTCAGATTAGGCGCTCGGTTTGTTTAGTTGGTGATTTTTTTCGACCTTTGTTTGTTGTGATACGTACCATATGGGTCTGGTAAGGCAACACCCTCTAAATGGGCCCTTATCGATTCTAACGGCTTGTGCGTTTCATGTTTGCCGACAAACTTCGATCCATAGACGCATAAAAAAGTAGATGCATCGAACGTGCATTTCGCGGATGCTTCGGCTGTCGCGGGTTAGTCGGGGATTAACGCGGAAAGTGAAATTTTTGCTTGTTGTTCACTTACACTGGAATTGTTTTGTATAGTTAGATAAACTTAACGGAAGTTTGGAATATTACTTTGCTTACTCAGTTATTTGCAGTTTCGCGCCCTATACCGGTTTAGACATTTTTACTTCGAAATTTAGGGATTTTGTAAGTATTTTACGAACATTACACGTTTTTCAATGTCTCATTGTCAGTTATTACAAAATTCGTGCTGTCATAATTATTGTTATCTACCATCTACAAGAAGACAATGGTCGTGGCTGTTTTAAGAAATTTATTGACTATTCTTTTTTATATTGTCATTAATGATGACTATTCGGAAATTTGTTTTAAGGTTATGATCAATTTGATAGATCGCTAACCAAATTTGTCTATCCATCCCCACCGAAATTTTGGTGGCGTCACTTCCAAAGTTTGCTAAGTATATAGTATTGTATTGTAGTATATTTAGTTGTGGCAACAAACATTTCAAAATTTATATGTAACAAAAAAGTATGCAGAAAGTTCTATACAGAGTATTCTGTTTTTAAGGCGTTGTTTTTTCAAATGGGATAGCCTATACATATTTTTATATTCTGTTTGACTCCTTCCTAGGCTCTGTAACCATAGTTTATTTTCGAAATTACGATGCGATGTTGCCAAGCTATTCAATTTTTGGGCAAGGGAAGAATTCACAAAAAATCGCAATTGCATTATTTTTAAAACCTAGCTTACAATATTTTATGATACGCGCTTTATAGTATAAATAAAGTTGGATTTTAATATATAGTGTTTATAAAAATTTTTAAGTGTCCAAATACCCATATTTTAGTTTTTTTCAAACACAATACCCCATATTTTATTACAGATCTTAATAAAACTGGAATAACGTCGCAACGTTGCATTGGAATTTCCAAAATAAACTACGGTTATAAAGCCTAAAGAGAAGTGTATGTATACTACTCAAAGAGCCGTACAATTTTAGCTCTAGTGGCTCACCATGTATATTTAACATAAGTTAGCTTCCGTTCAATCAAATCAAATTATTGATTTAAGGATATCGAATAAAACTTATTTATTCATTTCCTCCAAAAAGTTGCTGACGCCGTCATTGTACTAATAATAATTTATTAAGTAAATGTCTATTTTGAAATATGGGCTTGTTGATACTGTTAGTAATATACTTTTAATTTATAAAAGGTTTTTATTTTTAATTTTCTCACAAACGGTTCCTCTAAGTTCCTTAAAATTATTAACTATAGGAGTAAAAAAACCAGTGTGAGTAACACACACACATTGCAGCACTTGAACGCTTATTGCACAAACAGCTTCGTACAGTTTCTAAATTTGTTTCCGCCCGGAAACGGTCCACGCCGCCTCGAATGCTCCATTTTTGTTACGTCAGTGGTGATGTATTCGTCCGGGCCTTTCAGGGGTAGTTTTAGACACAGGAAGGGGTGTTTCCTCATCAATGCCGTTTCCGCCAGTCTCCTTTCATTCAGACACATCCGCGAAACGAAAATAAACATGCATTTAAGAATTTAAGATGTTAAGTAATGCTAGAATTATGATTTCAGAGCTTAGAAGGCAAGATAGGGCACTATATGAAGATGGCTTTGCAGACGGCTGATGCTACACCTGTCAGGTATGGGCCCACGAGGTGGGAAAGGGCGGAGGAAATGGAAGATAACTTGCCGAAAGGTTAGTTTTTAATCATAGTATTAAAAATGTATAACTCTGATGAGAAATTAATTCCCAGTTTATTATAATAAGTATGAATTTTAATGGTTAACATTTTATCGTCGATTTTAAAAATATATTAACCGGATAAGTGTTTTTGTTATTAACTTTGTTGAGTTGTTAATGAAATATGAGACTGAACATAACATTGGCAGATGACTTTATAAAGAGTAAATGTTCGTAGAAATTAACAAGAAATGATTTGATTTTCATAATTTTTTTTGTTAATAACTGATTTATTGTCCAAGAGATACACGTATCCAAAAGAATTAATTAACATCTACATGTATGTTTTTTATAATAAATGCTCTAGAAGCCGTTAATAATTCTAATAAGTTCATGGCTAGTGTTTTAACTTACATTATTAATTAGTAATTAATATATTATTGTTAACTTTTCTATTGTTTAAAGTGTTTCATAATTAAAATATAAATAAACACAAACTTTAAAAATGAACAATCGCAATATATTTATTTATAACGCACACGAAGAAAAAATCTCGGAAGTTATTCATATTCAGAACTCAACGGTAGCTTATTAAGTTCACAAGTCTAAGTTCTGGAAAACTCATTAAAAAATTCCGTCAAATTGACGTTCACCTATAGAAACAAAATATCGATTTAGACCGATAAATCAAAAAACTCTAAAAATTAGTCACACTTTTCCAATTAATCCTAAACAATTTTTGAGTTTTTTCTTATTCTATAAAGAGAAGAAAACTATGGATGAAAACTAGATACCTCCAAAATTATTTTGATTAATGGAAGTTTAATTGATTTCATGTATCCAACACTAAGTGGTGAAATATTGAACATAAAAGTTACCATACTCCTGTACTTGCGGTTTATGAATCCGCCTTGAATTTTTCCCTTTGGCAATTTACCAATATCGAATTTTGTAAGTTTTTGAAGAAATGGGATTTGTTGAACCTTACTTTAAGGAAGAGGAAAGTTCTGTCTAAATAACCTTAGACTTTAGACTTTATTATCAAATTTCAAAACCGATACCAGGAAAACTTGAAAATTAAATCATTTACATGTCTCTCTGTTATATGTAGGACAAGATTTAATTTAATTTATTAAATAAACGGGAAAACCCTTTTACAAAATAGTACATGTCTATACACTAATACACTGGAAAAACTTACTTAAAAAAAAACTTATACACATTTCAACTAAGATACGTAACATCAATTTAGAAAACAAACAAAGTAATTATCATTTACCTATATCTGAATATGAAGATAACAATAGTTAAATAATGATTATAATTAAATAAAATAATACAAAATAAAGAAATAAATAATTGTTCTAGCATCAAGACAATAATATAGAGAAAAGTGTCGAAGAAGCTGAAATTCTAAACGTTGTCAAGATGATAATAATTAAAGTTAACTTTCGATGAGACATTAAGAAAAGAAATAACGTAGTATTTATCAATATTTAAAGATAATAGATTTTTGATTGTCCAGTCAAATAAAATATTCAGATCATATTGCAACTCCAACGCATCAATTAAGGATCTAATAATTTTAAACAATTTCAAGTCATCTGCAAATAACAAACATTCTGAAAAACGAAAACGGAAACGAACAAAATAGGTGTACAATGGGACCCTTGAAGGACACCAGATGATACAGAATAAGGAGACGATAAATAAGAACCAATTCTTACTTGTTGTGATCTGTCAACTAAAAATGAAACCAACCAATTAACTGTGGCAGGAGCAAATCCCAGGTTATATAATTTATACATATATTAATATTCTATGATTCACAAAATTTTTGGTATCGAAGATTAAATGCTCACCCCCCTATAATTCTCAATTTCTTGCCGGTCACCGGATTTGAAAATTGATGTGAGAAAACTTCTAAAGATGTTTTAAATAATAAGAATAAACGTTGGGTAATCGTATCGTAAAAATACACTGTTTCAAAACATTATTTGGAACACCATCTTGCCCAAAAGAATTTGAAGGTTTCAGATGAGAAATATATTCAAAAATATCAGATTAGATTATTATCGTTATACTTATTGAAATTTATCTTTACAAAAACACTTTCCACCTTTGGATTATGATAAACTCTGGCACATTTAAAATTTGTATTAATTGCAAAACTTATTATGAACGAAAAATTATAATTACCCAGCTGTAACTCTTCGTTAGGTATATCACCACATATTCTAGGAATATCACATTCCTGGCTGACAAAAAAAAATAGAGCATTCCTTAAAATTTTCATTAATTAACGTTTAACGAAATTTCTATAAGACTATTTTTGTTTTTTTTATACACTAAAGTTCCTAAAAAAACTTTATTTTCAGGTTCTTGTTTGTGGTAGCTTTGTATTTTGTAGCTTCCAGTCCAGATCTAACTAAATTAATTAAAAATTCAGTTTAAGGGAAAAATTTTGAAGTCAAATTGACAAATTAACAAAAAAATTGAATATATAGCCGAATTACATTATTTATAAATCGACATTTGTGAATTGAAATATGTCGTGCAAATAAATATGATATTAAGGCCCTTGTTGTTTCATTTTTTCTTTTCTCTAGTTGTTTTTTGGAAACATACATTTTTTATTTGATTTTATGGTCACTTGTTACTTGCAATATTTAATTACGTAATGTACATTAAAGTTTACTAAAACCTAAAAGATTTAGTACAAGAATAAATGACTTGACAAGCGTTAATAATGTCCTTTTGACCACTTGTTCTAAATAAAGCGACATGGCCACTTTTACTTCATCCACATTACAACATTATTGCATATACCTAAATGAAAGAAAAAAGTGAATGATGGTAGCTTAGTTGTCTCATACGGATAGAACTGTTTAGTTTCACCTTACTCTTTTCATTGCAGATCCACGACAATGGTCTCGAGAACACGTTGCCCGATGGCTTCACTTAGTTACTCAACAGCACGGATTACCTGAAGTTCCATCTTCCCGATTTCTTATGAACGGAAAGGCTTTGTGTTTGATGTCACTTGAAATGTTTTTGAGTAGAGTGCCGTTAGGAGGAAAACTTTTGTACAAAGACTTTCAATTGAGGCTGTGTGCGGCTCTTTACGGCGTCAACCACTGAACACGAATTGGAATTTTTCAGTATTATTATTTTCCGATTAATTAGAGAGTAAAGCTTTATGGCTTTTGGCAGCAGGGCCGTGCGATTTGTGAAGATGCATATTTCAAGTATTATGTTAATATTTAGGTGTTTATCCTAGTCATGTAAATAAATGTTTGATATTTGAAAGTATTTTTTTGTGGTGTAGAAATTTCAACGACTTGAGACACTTGATGTAATTAATATCTGATAATTTTATCTTATGTAAAAGATAAACTTTATCGGGTGGTTCAGTCAAAATTTCATCTTCTCCGATATCACCGATTTTATCGCAACATATCCTCTAGACCGTTTTTAATTTTTTTTTTATTTTTTCATATCTGCGTCGTGGATTATTTTCAAAACTGTAGTCAATATGAAACCAAAAGTCGACAGTGTACATTGTATGTGATTTTTTAATTAGTTCGGAAAAATATGCTAATCAATCGCAGATTTTCTTTACAGTACCGCCAACATTCGTGTTTGATTGTTCACAGAATTTTGTTTTTTTCCCACACTACCGGTTTCACATTTTTTTTTAATTTGCATATAGAAACTGGATCAGTAATGTTTTACTTTCCGAGTGTAAGCTGTATCAGGTTTTATTCGGCGAATTGCTACTTTCCTGTTTTCTCAACATTTTAGAGTACGTAGAATTAGGTCTTTTCTGTCTGCCTGACTGCGGCCTGTTTGTGCTGATTTTGTGTACACAGTAGAAGTTAAGGATTTGCTGATAATATTTTTTCCCGTTGGTTATTTGAGCGACAAGCTGATAGGCGGTAAATATCATATCACGTTTTTCTGCAAGGTGAGTTGTTCACTTTTTTCCAAGGGTGGGTATTTAATAATAAGTGCAACACCCCCACTGATATTTCGAGTTGGGATTTTGTTGATTCTGCTCCAATTTGATAAATTTCTTGACGCTCTTCCGTTATAAACCTGCTCATTGTTTAATATATTATTTCTTGTTTTTCGATCTGATCCTCGTTGATTTATAATCTTCTTGTTTGTTCTATTTGCACTGGCTTCCCACTGATTTCTCTTTATATAGGTCTCTAAAATATTCTAACCATCTCTTTTGATTATGTTTTACGTTTTATAAATCTTTCCACTGTGATCTAATAATTTTGCTAATTGCGTGTATTTTCTTTCTCCTAAATTTTTGAAGATTTCGTATAGTCTTCTCATGTAATTCCGTCTTGTTATTCGTTCTTCTTTCTCTTTTAAACTATCTTTTTTCTTTTTCATCATGTTCTTTGTTTATAATAGTTTTAATTTTGTCTCTTTTCGATTCCATTGAGTCCATCAGGGGAATTGCTACTTTTAAATTTTCTTAATGTGTCGTGACCTCTTGAGTACAAAAATATAGGTTTCCCGTTTCCGTATGTTTGTCCTACCGCCGTCTGTGTCAATTTTTAACAGACAGATAATCTCCGAAACTACTGGGCCGATTGTTGTTAAACTTTATTATGCATTATGAACTTCATGTGCGTGGTAGAACCCTAACCAAACTTTATCTAATCATCCCCACCGACAACGTGATGACGTCACACTTCACCTCAAAATTGTACATAGTAAATGGATTTTAAATTGTACAGTCCGCCATGTGTAGTTTATAAATTCGTGTTGAGTTAAAGAGATACATATATAGATTTTTGGAATAAAAACAATAAAAATTTGTATATACATATCATATTTTATAAAATATGTAATTTATTTAAACATTTTCGAATTTAATTTTGAAACTGAAAACCTTAGATCATATAATAAATAGATACCACCACGCCGTGTTCTTTCCCTAAGAGAGCCTGTGACGACATCCTCCTGTCACACATCTCTCTTGTGCATGGAGGGATTACAATGAAGCTATCCTTGCCTGATCACTATTTGAATTTTGCGCGCCTAAATTTTAGGAAGTATGTCTGAACTAACTTCGTACGAAAGATGTTGACAGCTTGATTTTATAAATAATTCACAGTAGATAACGAAAGGAATAGTAAATTATTGGGCAGCAATTGTGATCCTTTATGATTACATCACTTAAAATAGGATTTTTGTTCTAACTTCTAAAATTGTTTTTCGTACAAGAACACAAAAGAGACGTTAGAAGAAACATCTGTCAAAAGCAATTTGTTGCGCTGGTGCGGTACAAGGATGGAAGTGAAATAGACATATACAGATGAAATGCATATAACAAAGATGAAGATGTGGTGATCACACAAGGGTAGCATTATACTACTCCCCTTGACGTAGAAAACGACAACAGATAGCTTCATGTCTAGTCACAGCTTTCATTTTGAGTATTGGTATCTATTTATTATATGATCTAAGCTGAAAACCGAATATTTTGAAATCTTGTAGACGTTTTAAAGTTATCATAAGCATTTTAAATTTTTAATCAAAATATATTTGTGTATCTCCTTCAAAAAAGTTATTACATCATCTCAAAATTTTGTCAAATAAATTTTATTTAAAATGCGGATTTGATGAGTCTATGCTTGTGGTTTATCCTCCCATTCATTTTTTTAGAACTGCTTATACAGGCTCACTAAAAAAAATCAATTACTCAACATATGTCATTGATTAAATCAGGAACTGCAAAAGCGAAGGTTTTGAAATCTTGCAGTCATTTTAAAGTTATCGCAAGCATGGTAATTTTTTATCAAAATATGCTGTTTATCCCCCTCAAAAAATTGATGACGTCATCTCAAAATTTATTGTACAAGGTGACTTAAAAAATGAATAAATGAGTCAAATTATTTTATTGATTAAATCAGGAACGGCTCACTCCATTTTCCCGAAAATTTAGAAATATAATACTGTTATTATTAGTATTACACTGCACCTATCCAAATTGAAATACGTGTCCTTGCAAAAATGTTGATGGCGTCGTCACAACATTCTTAAAGGAAAAACTCATTTGAAACGGACGCATAGCACGCTTTCTTATATTTACTTTAACATTAGAAACATATCTTTATTTTTACTTGTAGGGGTTCTCTTAAAAAAAGTAAAATTATCGAAATAAAATTTATAATTTTTTGAAGAAGTTGGAAATGTTTTATTGTACTTCAGGGGCCAAGGGAGTTCTGTTGAAATAATCAACGACCATTTTTTATGTCTGCTATAGTTTCGACATATCAACAAAAGTCGATGGGAATAAACTTGCCTCACAACGTCAATCCTAAAAACTTCATTTCTAGAGTTTTCTGAAATGTTCATTCATGTAAATAGGTTTCCAGTTTGGTTTAATAACAACATAAAACTAGCATTAAAATAAAGAAGTCTGATAAAAAAATAAATTAATTTTCATAATGCTAGTGTTCTGAAACATGTCAGGAAAGGAAGGATCATATTATTGTACAAATAAATAATTTCAGGACCAAATATGTACAATATAAAATAAAATTTATATATTTTTTTGTGTTTAATAAAAAAATTAACGATTTAAACACCAGCTACCGCGACTACTACATAAACAGCCCCCATGACAAGGCGTACCTGCCTTGTTACAGCCGCAACGACGATCAGCACACTGGATTTGGCGGCATCCACAACCCTGTAAAGAATAATTACGTTAATAAAATTGACACAAATGATTTATGCCACTACAAACCCCTGAAGCTCGAGGTAAAGAAGGACAACCAAGTCCAAATCTAGAATCAACATTCACAAGAATATTGTTAATTACAGGCTGAGATTGACGTGGTGAAGTATAATTGTAATGCCAAGACTGATTGTAAGTTTCGTAGAAATTGTACACTGGACTGAAAGTTTGGGAATTTCTAAGGAAATTGGCTTGAAAGTGACGATGTTCTAAAATAAACGTCACCAAACTATATAGGTACACAACCTCCATAATTAACTTACCGTTTTGTTTTTCCGCGCTACTGTGTCGTGCCACTTGTAATGAACTTCTAGTGCCTTCGTTCTTTGCAACCTGTAAATTACCTAAAGAAAAAAATACTACATGGTTCTAAAATTTATTCAGTACCAAATTCTCTCTCCAAATTTCTAATAGGTACCACTGCGGATGATGATGTTGTGCTTTCCTTAATTTTTCTTATGTCTGTAATATATTTCTAAAACATACACTTACATGGGCGCCCATAAAAACCTTTCTCAGGGGGGGCCACCCTGAAATTTTTGTAATATACTCTGTTCTTGTATATATAAATAATATAATGATAGAAATCTTTACTATTATAAATATATATTTTAATCATCAACTACGTTAATCAAATCTATCGCAAATAACCCTACAACATCATTATTCTTATTATTAACAAAACAGTGTAAAATATTAAAATTAAAAAGTTATAAAAATATAAAATTAATCAAAAATAAATTGGTAATTCCTTTTTTCTTGGCCAAAATCGTCAGTTACTCTACCAACAGATATTTCTTCGGCATTAACTCTCTCTCTCTCAAATACTACTGTCAAGGTTTTTTATTTTTACAAAATCCTGCCAATTTTGGATTTCGTCCGATAAAAATTGTCAGTGGTGTAAAATTCGCCCAACCCTTTAAGGCAACTTGGTTTTACGTTATGTATATTCTTTGGATGTAAAGAAAATAATGAGCATGATGACACTTTTGTTTCGGAAAATCGTGTCGTTAAGGAAAGAATGAAATGATCCAGGTATGGAATAAAAGTGTCAAAATAATTTTCTATGCTATCTGTGTTGTAGTTCGCACGCCCACTGGTGAAACAGTTCTGGAGCAACCGAAATTTCCACTCGAAGTCTATGGCTACTCTGAAAAACCGCCATCAGTAGTAATAGATAACACCACTTATTTTATACTTCTTATTAGCTGAAGTATCATCATCAGTATTTGTAATTTTTTTCTTGAAGAAATTTCAAATATCCATATTTCTCTGTTTTTAAATAAAATATTAAACTTAAAATTTAATCAAGAGTACTCTCGCTTGAATTTTGAAATAAATAAATAATAAAAATTATAGTCAACAAAACGCCGGTTTAACAACTGTTCGTCTTTACACGTCACTTCATCACAGATAAAAAGTGAAAACGGAATGAATTTTTGGACGTAAACGTTAGCAATAAAATGTTTGCTCTTGTAATAACTGTAAAAAGCAAATAAAGAAACAACCCATAATTCAGTACCGGTTAAAAAGGATAGATTTATGATGTTTCCAGGCAAATCTGGGCCAAACAGAGGGTTTCAAAACCAAATGGTCTAAGTTTGTCACATTTCTGTGTTTGTGTGGCAATAAAACTGAAAGTGTAGGGCATGTACCTACTCTTATAAATGTGCTAAAGTTTAATTTTGACAAATAAAAAGGAAATTGACGCAGAATCTCAGGGGGGGCCATGGCCCCCCCTGGCCCCCCCCTATGGGCGCCCATGTACACTTATCAAACTAGATTTATGTTAAAAACATTGACACACCTCGTGGATAAAATTGAAATTTATGTTATTAAAACTGAGTAAAATAATCGAAATAAATTCACCTGTCGTGTTCATTCTTCCCATATGATTTCTTTTCAAGTGTCAACTCTTTGGTTTCGGGAATTTTGCGAACCGCTGATTTACCACTTGACGAAGCCTGAAATCTCAAGTCAACTCAACAGATTCCTGCTTGTTAATTTTCTTTTGAACATACCTTTGAAAGGTCAAAATTCCACTCTAGCGAATTATAATCCTGAAAAAATGTATAAAGCTTCGTCCACACTGTGTATAAATGTTTATTACCTGAAGTGACTTACGTAGATAGAAAACTTATTCAGGGGGGGCAAGTTTGTCGACAGAGGGGGTTTCATCTAAATATATACATATATTTCAATAATACACTCAGATAACTGCTTTATTTTTTCATTAAAATAATTGTAAACGTCGTTTTTTCCACTATTAAATTTTCGTAAAAACCTGTCCAAGTCCAAAGAATTGGTACGGTACTTTTCAAAAGCCAGAAAAACCAAGTTTGCCAATCTTTGATGCGTCATTGTGATCTATTCAGAGAATGTATATTTACAAACAGCTGTACTGCATCTAAATATTCGTATACATTGCCAAATAACATACCCTGTAAGAAAATAAAGGGTGGGCGGGTGGGGCTACTAAATATGCTTCAGCAATCGGAATTATATTTAAATTTTATTACTAATTTGAAATTTATAATGTGTAAGTGTTCCAGGGGGGGCAACCACAACTGCTAGGGTGGGCTCAGCCCCATCTTGCCCCCCCGTAGCTACGGGGATGCCTGATGTGGTGAATAGAGTCTAGAAGATTACGACCTATTGATTAACATTGGAGATGTTGTTGCAACAGGTTCCATCTAGAAGAGAAAATTGTAGACAGAACTTGGTATATTATTTTAACAAAGATAACAATCACCTCAATTTTCGGAAATGAACTTAAACTAAATGTTCTTAAAGAGGTTGTATTAGTTTTTGACACTGTAGCTGTGGGTGCCTAGAAAAAAATGTAGCAATAATAATAATAATAATACAAAGTAATCCCACAGGCATTAGCCCAATTATTGGATTACATCACTAATAGGTAGGTAAACAGTAATAGTAATAATAACAATGAACAGCGCAAAATAGATATTAAATACTCAATTAAATTTCCATAGTTTCAAAGATAAGCTTAATCTGACTAATACCTACTAGTAAAAAAAAATGTCTATTTTGTGACCAATAAAGGAGTAGTTCCTAACAGCCTGATAAAGAGGGGAGGCTTTCATGATGTTAGTTCTCGGTGTTACAATTTCAAATAGATTAGTACTCCGAAAACGTGCTGTTACTGTCCGAAACTTTAACATACTCAGTAACTATGTAGGAACGCACTAAATAAACCAGCATTAAAACAGAGTCCACCATTCTTCTTCTCTGAAGACTGTGTAATTCAAACCTTTTTCGAAGTAGGTCATGTGGAAAACCTTGATTCGGATAAACCCCATCAATCCTGTAGGCAAGGTATTTTAGGAAACGCCTTTGAATTTTTTAGATGTTAGAAACATGAATGTCATAAATAGGGCTCCAGATTCTAGATGCGTACTCCAACTTGGATCTTACGAAAGCAAGATACAAACCTTTTAATGCAACAATATCGTCGCTTTCTTTTGAGTGTCGAATGACAAATCCTAACGATTTAAATGCCTTAGTAGTAATTATGTTAATGTGATCAACAAAATTAAATTTTGTATTAAACGTAACTCCCAAGTCACGAATTAAAGATTTATGTTTTATGACGTTATTGTCAAAACAGTAATCGTAATGAGTGTTATGGATAATTTTGGAAAAGGACATTACATAACACTTATCACCATTGATGCAAAAGAAATTCTCCTGGCACCAATTAGAAATAGTGTCAAGATTATTCGGAAGCCTGTCACAATCTTCGAACAATTTAATCTCTACAAAAATTTTAAAATCGTCAGCAAACATTAAACAGTCGACTGTTAAGTACTTCTTATAAAAAATGACTACACTGTACTCAGGGAGTAAATATTTTTATTTACCTGTGTTTTCCAAATGAGTGCAGATTTAGTAGTTGCTGTAGAAACAGATGTTATATTTGCAGATGTAAGCTATTAAAATTAAGCATTGTATGTTAAAAGTCTATACGTGGTGTATATATGTACTGAAATATTGTGAAACATACCTGAACATTCAAGTTATGAGTCAACTTAGGGTTGTATGAACTTGAAGAAGAGGCATTTGTATAGTAGACCAAAATGTATAAGGTTATATGGCCATCATAAAATTATTCTATTGTGTCGAAGTTAAGTTGTCTACAATTGAAAAGGTTTAGGGTCGTAAATAACGTGTCCACTGCAGCTCGACCGGCTGTTGTAGTTTCGTTCAGGGGCGGCTTTCACTAAATATGTAAATCCACCACTGAATTATTTCTTTACTACTTGCAGCCGCTGAGGGTTCCGAAATAACCACTCGCTTTGAAAGCCGGCCCTGTTAAATGTGAGCAAGAAATATTTAGAAGACGATTTGTTGCCAACCGGTAAGCTTAGTGCGGACAATGGGGGTATTTATTTGCGGTCAACTACTTTTATGATGGTCATATAACCTTATACCTTTTGGACTGTGGTTGTTCTCTGTGGAAAATGTTAAAATTTTATGAAGATGTCTAATAAGAATTTATTTACTGTGGTGTCCCGATTTGAAAAGTTAAATTCTGCGCTGTGAAAAAAAACAACGCTGCGAAACCGCATTTACAAAAGGCAATTGTTTAAACAAAAATGAATCGCATTCGGCGCCCCTGTTTCTCTGAACGAGGTGTAATTAATATAAGACCAGTTAGTTAGCCATTTTCTAACAGGCGATGTCGTAAAACTTTGTCGTATTATTTTTGTTTTATTTGAAAATTCACAGTTCCTGTCAAGATTTTTAATTTTCAGGGTTCAGGTCCAGTTTTATTTTTTGGAACGATATGTTGAAAGTTCTGGATGGTTTTATTTAAGTCATTATAACCAGTGTACAATAAAAAATATATTTGGAGCAGGTTTTGGAATTATTATTTACTGTTTATTTGCAACAAGGTAATTATTTTCGGAGACAAAGTAGGAACCGGCATGGTTACACAACTAACTATACAGCGATTATTTACAGAACAATTCTGACTCGATTGGAATGGATTTGACTAGACCCAAATTCTCTCAACATTCACTGGACTCGACCAGACTGCTTTCTACAGTGGCCCCTATTTAAATAATCTTGTTTTCTTCTGGATGGTTAGCGAACGACGCTTCGAGATTTTTCTGGAGCCCACCAACGAGACTCTCGGCAATCCGCTCCAGGCTTTTCTTTTTGCGAAAGCCGTCCGGCCGCCGTCACGATGATGAGTCATCCATCATCGCCGTACATGCTAGAAAACCCTTAAGAAAACCCAAAGGCGTCGTATCGGAGCGGCAGATGGGTTTATTTCGTACCAATGCGATTCTAAGAAAAGAACTTCATTTGCTTCCCTATCGTCTCAGATCTACACATGAATTACGTCCAACTGATTGTCCTCAAAGAGTTCCGTACTGTCAATGATTTCTGGTAAACTCACAAAACACGTGAAAGTGGACTTCACAAAATCGACACTTTTTTATTGAGTCTCCTCAATATTCTGAGAAAACTGATGTTTAGGATGCGATTAACCAACGAAGAATTAGTTTTCCGTTTTGTTTTATGGTAAATAAAAATATTTTTTATTAAACAATAAGGTAAATGATTTTTCAGGAAACATAAATGCTGCAAGGAACCAAAACGAAATTGTAATTCCATTTTTCAATCAACTGGTTGATGATGATTTAGTATACGGTTACTTTCAGCAGGATTGTGCTACTTTTCATATAAATGGTGCTACAACTGAAAACTGTTGTAACGAGGTGATTCTTCTACTAACCATGATGATTTTGATTACTTCCATTTATTTTTTTATTTCAAAAGTAACTTGGTAGAACAAAACAATTGTCACGTTGTGGTGACCGAATTTAAATCAAAATTTTCGCGCTGAAATTAATTAACACCGGCGCGAAATCACATTTGGATAATTTGAATTTGAAAGAAAAAAAAATCATCAAATCAAAAATCATTAAACACAGGCAACCATATATGCACGTAGCGTTAGTTCTGCATATTTAGTTAGAGGGCGGCATGGCGGAGCGTCAGTCTGGATGTGTTTTTGTTAATGTAAACACGTGGTAAGAGCTAGTATAAATTAGTTGGTTTGGTAATTAATCGTAACGATGACGACACAGTTTTTCCCCAACACATCTAGCTAATTCTTGCGACCTTTTAATCGGAAAAAAGTGCGGACTTTCGTTCAACGCGGAACACTTGCTGTAAATTTGTTTTATTGTTTGTAAATTCACCAATCAAGTTAGTTTTTCTTTATCGTCAGCTATTATTAACACAATTTAATAACCAGGATTATTTAAATAAACCACTTGGTAAAAGATTTCATGAAATTCACTTAGTCCAGATAATACCTTTGTTGTTTAATTACAAATAAGTTTCTGGATGCTATACGTAAGTGTTACATTATAACACTTCTTAATTCTTCACACAAAATTGCTAGTAGTTCATTTACGGCAGTTAAATTAACAAAATTCATATTGCGAACTGGCGGGGGGTTAAAATAATTTCTTCCCTTAGGCGGTTATCATGATTACATCACCAAAGCACGTCCTCGCAACGTTAAAGATTGATTACATCACTGAGGCATGTCCTCGCAACGCTAAAGATTGATTACATCATCGAGGCTTGTCCTTGCAACCCTAAAGATTGATTACATCATGGAGGCTTGTCCTCACAAGGCTACAGATTGATTACTTCATCGAGACATGTCCTCGCAACGCTAGAGATTGATAACATCAACGAGGCTTATTCCTCGCAACGCTAAAATATACATCATCGAGGTATTCCCTCGCAACAATAAAATTACATCACCGAGACGCTTTTTCCTCGCAACGATTATTGGATATTTTTGTGTTTATTTATCATCTGTTTTGTAGAGGTAACAGTTCGTGGTATTCTAAACTCTCAAAGTAAATTGTTTTTGGGCAACTAATCACTTAGTTCATGATATAATTTGGCATAATGTAAACTCTTTGTTTGAATCGTTGAGAAAGTGTGGCAAATATTAATCTCATGTAAATTTTGTTAACTTTGCAATTCTTCACCTCATACAGTATTTCTCTATCTCACAATTTTAACCTCAGTAATTTTCTTTGTTGTACATATAATTTTAATTGAACGTAAATTTCATGCTCTACAGTTTTAACCTCACATAATATTTCTATTGGCACAAGTTTATTTCACACAAGATCTTTTGTTTCATAACTCTTTTCTAAGTTTTGTTTGTAAATATTTTGTGGATAAATCTTTCCATCGTATAAATTATTTGATGTCCAATTTTAATCTCACATAAGAATTATTTGTTGCTTAAAACTTCACAAGATTGTATGGCGAATTTAAATGTTGTTTATTGCTCTTTTGAAACTTTGACACTTGTTCAGTTGTTGTTAATATCAGAGTCATAAGAAATTGAACATTTAAAATGGAATTGAGGTTAAATAACACAGAAAACGTGGCAGAAGCGAAGTGCGGTTCCTAGTCGAGCTGGCGAGATTCATCGCGTCACCTGCACAAGTCCGCAGGTTTGGATAGATTCAGGGGCGGCCGCCGATGTTGTAACGTTCTCGGCTTCTGTCCTTAGCCGAGATCCAACGACGGGTCTGGCGACCGTAACGGCCTAGTTTCGGACGTCATGTTCGTCCTGGGGATGTCTAATGGGCTATGCGGGTAGGCTTGCGATAAATAAAATCACCGTCGTGGGGGGAGAACAGCCTCGACCGGTAGCCCCAAACTCCGCTTGTGCTAAAACGCTCCAGGGGTACTTTTGTTGTGCTGCTGTTAACTGCCGTAACTTTAAAATCTGACGCCACACGCCCGTAATAACTTGTGTATTTGCATCCAGTTACTTTGTAAATTTGTGATATAATCAAATATTTGCATTGATTCCAAACATATGTATAGGATTTTGCGTTTGTTCGTTTTTCATGTGTAGGTCTGTGAATTCGCGAGTATCTTTTCTTTCATATTTTTAAGGTGTTTTGTTTGAAATGTATATAATATGTCAGTGAATATACGATAGGGGGTTTTGGGGTTGAGGAGTTAATGCGAGATGGCAAGTCCGTGTCGCCTTCGCACGCAGCCTCTTTCCTCCTAGAGAGGGGTCGCAATTCCCCCCCCCCCCCCTGAAAATTTGGTCTATTATTTCTTGCGCTTTCGACTCACACGCAGTGTATGCTAACTTATATGAAACAACGTTTTCCCGCCACTTTAAAACACACAACGTAGGTTCCCATTTGTTAGACCATCACAGCCAAAGCCAAAATTTGAATTTTTCGCGGGCCTTTCAAACTTTTTCAAGGTCAATTAAGGGCGGGAAGTTTGGGTTATCACAGAATGTTTTTTAAAACATAAATTAACATTGAAGCAGTGGTGGTTAGTCAAAATTTTACAAGGGGTCGAAGATGGTGTTCCTCGTGTTGACAAGAAGCTGTCGGCCGGCGGATAATTTGTTAATAATTTTATTTCAATAATGTACCTTAAGCAGAGTTGCACTAAAATGAGGAAATGGTTTCTAACGCAACATTATTTTGTTGTTAAATGTCATTTTCAATAACCATCAGTCTGACGTGACTCTTTCTACACTCCAAAAGAGTCGTAAACAAATTAATTTTCACCGCCTGCTCCAAATATATTGTTAATTCTTTTTACAGCCCTGTCGTTTTAGAGCTCTTTTCGAACCGCAGCTTTTCCAAGACATTTGTACCTGCTTGGCAGAGACTCCCCGGCGCGAGGCGAACTTGGATGCAGTAAACATCGGCTTTCCCCTACCAGGCTATTTAGCTGTACAATAAAATTAAGGGCAGGGCTGTAAAACGAATTAACTTTGGGAGTCCATAAAATTCTTATAATTCTAGACAAACTCTAAAACGAAATAAACTCATATGCTGTCTCGTACGACGTCGTCAAGTACTTTCTGATCTTACGATGATGATTCATTCTCAATGCGACCGAACGACGGAGCGCTAAAGAAAGGCCTGGAAGCGGAAGTCGCGAACGGCAGTCCTGAAAGATCCCGATCACGCAAATCTAGAAGGAAGTATGGGTTTTAAATAGAGGCCACCTCCGGGAACGATTATTGTTCAGCTAGTTGAGTCAAGAGAAGTTGCGCCGGAATTATTTTATAATCGCTGTAATAGATAGTCGTGTAAATTCGAGTGAGTAAGAAATAAATTGTTGAGTTTATCCATGCCGATTTTAATTCACTGTCCAACGTAAAAATATTTTTATTCTACATCCGTTATTACTGACAATTCATATCCGCTCGAGATTTATAATAATTAATTCATGGCATTTAAATTCATCTTAAACGTTGTTTCATTTTAAGGGAAAGAACTTTGAAATTTGTCATCTGTTACATCTTGAATTTGAGCATTTATTCTCAAATTATTATTGTTTTGATTTTGATCGTATTTATTTAATATGTGCCTGTTGTGTTTCTTCCATATGTACTATGTAATTTGCCGTCGATATTTTGGATTTTAATTAAGCATTCTTTTCCAACCTTGGGGTTTACAAAAAACACAACGTAGGATCACAACCCAAGGCGAAATTTTGAACTTTTCGCGGTTTAAAACCTCCATCAAATTTCCTTAAAAACTAATATTTTATGTACTACGTTTATAAAGTCACAAGTTAATAAGTTAACAACTGCTATGATTTTAGCTAATGTATCGTCAGCTTATCAAAATAAACGTATCTGCTATATAGAATAAAAGAATTGAATTTACTTACATTTGTTAGATCACCTCTGGTTTTGGCACTGGGCAATAAAATCGAAGAAATGGCATTTGTGGAATGGGTTGTTGTAGACTGCGAAAAGTTTTGTTACAAATTTATAAAGCGAAATTAAAAATGAAACATGTTACCGTCATGTTTAAATCAAAACTTGGACGAGTGAACACACTAGAACCAAGTACATTTACCGACTGAATTGTTGTTGCCTGAAAAGCGAAAAATGTACGCATTTTATTCACAACAAAATATGTGACGTTACCGTGGTATTACAACCAGAACTTGATATAGGACCAGTGAACACACTTGAGAAAATGGTATTTGCAGTCTGAACTGTTGTAGGCTGAAAAGTGAAAAATGTAGGAACAAATGTCTGTTTAGACTGAAGTGTCGAGGTTACCGTGGTGTTAAACACAAAAGTTGATTTAGGACTGCTGAACAAATTTGAAGAAAGTATATTAGAATTCTCAACTGTTGTAGCCTAAAAGGAGAAAGAAATACGTGTAGGTAACTGTTTATTACATCGCAGCATTTGAAGTTACCAGAGTTTTAGAATCACAGCTTGATTTAGGACTGCTGAACAAATCTAATGAGGCAGAATTTACAGACTGAGCTGTGGCCACCTGTGAAAAATTACATATCTATGTGAAAAAATCTAAATCTCTATTCACACAAAATATCTGGATTTACCACTGTTTTGAACTCGAAATTTGATTCAGAAGTGTTGAATAAGTTTGTGGAAATAAAATTTAAAGTTTTCGTAGTCTTAAAATTTGAATTTACCGCTGTTTCAAAATCAGAGCTGGATTTAAGGCTGCCAAATGAATTAGAGAAAGAAACAGTTGTTGGATTATGGTCGAAACCAAGGTTAGTTAATAGAGAACAGGTTACCACATAAACGAGTATGTGGGCAAAATCGCTTACGGGGGAGGAGAGGTGTCAGCCCCATGTGACGTCAAAATGAAGTTGGTATTACTTGGGAATTTTTAGTAATTTGTAATTTTGAGTTGGTGTGACCGATCAGCTGATGCCTTTAATTTGTACGATCTGTACCGCTAATTTCGTTTCAAGAAAAAAATTGTTACTCGGATGACCAATTTGTTAAAAAATATGGTGGAGCTCCCAGAAGAAATCACAAGGGCTTTTTTAAAACAGAGAACTTTAATTAGAATTAAATATTTAAATAATAAATCTGAAAATAAACAAAAGTATAAAAAATTTAAAAAAATAGCAAAAAATGTTTGATGTATGTAAATAAAAATTATTATAAAATTTTATGTATTTTTACTTACCAGTAGTCTTAATGTTTAGTTGTAATATTTTCACAAGTTTAATATTACAGTGAATTAAAGTGGTGTTTGCCTAACAAAAAAAAATTAAATTTATTTGTGTTTAAGCTAAAATGAAAAATTTTGATATATTACTAGAAAGGAAAAAGTAAACCAGTAAATGCAGATTTTCAGATTTTTTGCATAAAAAAAATCAGTTAATAGTGTCGCATTTGTTATTTTCAAGTTCTACTGGCAGCAAAATATTTTTCTTGAGGCTTATTAAATTGTTCTTTACACAGGATTGAAATTTGCGAAGTAGAAGCGGTCACTTGATTAAAAGTTTCAGTTTTTAGTGCATTACTCGAGTATTTAAAACGGACAATTTTCGCGCCATTTGAGAGCCCCTTGTGACGTATCAATATCGCATCCCAATGTGGCAATCTTATCTATTAAATGACTTTGGTCGAAACTAGTTTTAAGATTGCCGAAGGGACGTCCAGTTGTAGATTGTGTTGTTATTACAGGTGCAGGCAGAGTATGTAAAAAATTGGTCTAAAGAGTTTAGACAGTACTTCCCTCGCTGTCGGAAACTTGACGACTGCATGCCTATTGTGTTTTTTTTTCTCATTACATTTTTGTAGTGGGAATTTAAAAAAAAATTGCGATGACGTCATCAACATTTTTGCAAGGACACGTATATCAGTTGGGATAGATGTAGTGTAATACCAAGAATAAAATTATTATATTTTCAAATTTTCGGGAAAATGAATTGGGTCGTTTTGAATATTGATTTGTAATAATCAATAAAATAACGAAACAATTTACTCACGTATACGTATCAGAGGCAACAAAAAATCGTGTATGTATAAACATTCTTAATTTAAGATGACAGGCGTAACAGCATACGTGAGAGTCAAACAGAGAAACTGTAAACAAAACGACCATCGGTTTTATTGCTTCGACTTCCGCTTATTATATAAAACATTGGGTTTTATTTTAATTCTTGACGGTGAAATTCACAATTGGTTGATTATAAACATGTCTATTTCACATTCGCGGAACCAAGTGAGCGCATAAAACAAATGCAGGTCTGTAATGTTAAAGTCGATGTAAATAAGCGTGCTACCCTTATGTTTCAACCGAGTTTTTCCTTTAACAAATTTTGTGTCTACCAAATTGGGTTGGTTGGGGTGTAATACTAATAATAAGTGTTGCCTTTAATTTAATCAATAAAATAAATTGACTTCATTAATTTTTTTGAACCACCTCTTAAGAAAATCTAAAAAATATGAATGGAATGATAAATCACAAGTACAAACTCATCATATTTTTTGCATTTTAGATAGGATTTATTCAGCAAAATTTAAGGGTGACGTCATCAATTTTTTTAGGAGGGATGAACAAATACATTTTGAACAAAAGTTTACCATGCTTATAATAACTTTAAAATATTCCCAAGATTTCAAAGCATTCGGTTTTATAATTCCTGATTAAATCGATAAAATAAATTCACGCCTTCATTATTTTTTTTGAGTCACCCTGCATATGCAAATCCAAAAATATGAATGGAATGATAAATCACAAGTACAGACTCATCATATTTTGTACATTTTAGATACGATTTATTCGGCAAACTTTTGAGCTGACGTCATCAGTTTTTTGTAGAAGATAACCAAATATATTTTGACTAAAAATTTATTATGCTCTTTATAACCTTAAAACATCTGCAAGATTTCAAAGCATTCGGTTTTGTAGTTCCTGATTAAATCAATAAAATAAATTTACGCATTCATTAATTTTTTTGAGTCACCCTGTATATGCTAATCGAAAAAATTTGAATGGAATGATAAATCACAAGAAGAGACTCACCATATTTTGTACATTTTAGATAGGATTTATTCAGCAAAATTTTGTGGTGACGTCATAAATTTTTTAGGGGGGACGACCAAATACGTTTTGATCAAAAATTTACCATGCTTATGATAATTTTAAAATATCTTCAAGATTTCGAAGCATTCGGTTTTGTAGTTCCTAAGTAAATCAGTAAAATAAATTTACGCTTTCATTTATTTTCTTGAATCACCCTGTATATGCAAATCCAAAAAATATGAATGGAGTGATAGATCACAAGTACTGACTGATCATATTTTGTACATTTTAGATATGATTTATTCCACAAACTTTTGAGCTGACGTCATCAAGTTTTTGGAGGGGATAAGCAAATATTTTTTGACTAAAGATTTATGATGCTCTTTATAGCCTTAAAACATCTGCAACATTTCAAAGCATTCTGGTTAGCAGATTAAAAATTAAATTTCAAAATGTTGTTTTATAATTTTGATTTTTTTTCCAAAAATCTGGACGTTTCGGGTGAAAAGTCAATTCAGAGTTGTAAACTACATGTGTAGGACTATGTTATTTTATACAATTGAAAACCCATTTACTACGTACAATTTTGAAGTGACGTCATCGCATTAGTGGTGGGGATGATTAGACAAATTTTGGTTAGCGTTTTACCATCTACATGATATTCTTAATATAAGTACAAAATTCCCAACAATCGGTCGAGTACTTTCGGAGATTATCTGTCTAATAAAAATCCGGGGGCAGACGGACAGACGGACAGATGGACGGACAGACGGACGGACAGACGGACGGACAGACGGACAGACGGACAGACAGACGGAAATGGGAGACCTATTTCTTCGTCTTCTAGGGGTCATGAAAGATCGAGAAAACGTAAAAGTAGAGAGTCGGCCGACGGACTCGATTACAATACTTCCTTTGCTTACGCTCGGGAAGTAAAAAGAAACAAAATTGAAATTTTCGTACTGAAAATAATATTAGGTATAGTGAACCAAGAGTTATAAGGTTATATGGCCATCATAAAATCATCCCATTGTGTCGAAGTTAAGTTGTTTACAATAGAAAAGGTTTTAGGGTCGTAAATAACGTGTCCACTGCAGCTCGACCGGCTCTTGTGGTTTCGTTCAGGGGCGGCTTTCACTAAATATGAAAATCCACCACTCCACTATTTCTTTACTACCTGCAGCCGCTGAGGGTTCCGAAATAACCACTCGCTTTGAAAGCCGGTCCTGTTAAATATGAGCAAGAAATGTTTAGAAGATGATTTATTGCCAACCGGTAAGCTTAGTGCGAACCACACAAAGGGGGTATTTATTTGCGGTCAACTACTTTTATGATGGCCATATAACCTTATAGCTCTTGGTTCACTATATTTATACTTGAGTTCTGCAAATATATACAATACAAACTTGAAGATTGTTTTGCACCCTATTATAAGCAAATACAATTAACAGTAGGTTGGAAATCTAAGGTCATTAAAAGTTCGTTATGTTATGATATGTACACAGAATTTGTAGAAAAATTTTTTATTCAATTAATTCAGTCCTGAGAACGGACAGAGGAATTGAAATTCTATAAACGCCATTGTTTTGGTACACTTTAAACAACAGTTACTTCGCAAAATTTTAAATTGCATCAACAAAAATTTTTGAGAGAGATGAACAGATTCATCTGTTAAATCACCAAAAGACAGAAGATAGGCAGACGAATGGAAACAGGGACGTACTTTTGCATATTCTAGACGCTATGAAACGTCGAGAAAACATGAAATTAACAATTTTCCAACATACCCCATAATATAAATATTTACAAAGAAAGATTATACGTTAGACTGTGGTGTTTGACCGAACAAATTTGTAGTTTGTTGATTATTGTGACCACACGATTTCGCAAAAAATTTCTCTCTAAAAGCAAACCAGTGTTCAAATTGAAATCATTGCAATTTTTTGAAGAATTCTAAAAATATTAATGAAGTGTTTAATAGCTGAAAGGGACCGTAATAAAATAATATACTTACCGGCAAGGCAGTACGACACCATGCTGTCGAGGTATTGAGACTGGGTGCTTAAAAAAATGTGTAAAAAAAGATCTTTACAAATAATCCAGCAATTACTTGTGTCTTTATTCTGTACTAATATTCGCATTGGCATCAGTGGTTTGGGTTCTGAAATGTAATCCTCGTTAGAGATTTCCCTTAAGTAACAGTATGTCCAACCACCATATCAAAGTTACCAGACAAGATTATGTTGCTCACCTTTATCAAACTGCTTCAGGCGCCTATGTAAAGTCTCGACCATATCTTTGGCAGAGAACAAATCTTTGGTCTCGAGTCGCATCAAGGCCATCAGTCCTACCAATCGATTAAAAATAGGTGTATATATATTTCGTGGAACTTACCCGCCGCTTGCAGGACTTCATCTTCCGATTCTGCTAAAATTTTAGCTGCTTTTTCAAATTTTAAATCCTAACAAAATTAAATATATCAACGACTTTACTGCGTTTCTAATTCATATTTGTAAAATACTTACGATGAGTGACATTTTCTAAATTGTGGAACACGCACTAAATGTAATATGAACTCACAATATGCGTTGTACAACAATTTCCATCAAATGCTGGGAAGTACAAAAGAATTGGTTACGAGTAGATAAGCAATCTCCCTCAAGGTTGTTAGTGAGAGATAGGTGTGTCCGTTCTATATAAACAGATAGCAATAGCCTGTAATATATATAGTTACGGTACAAAATAACAACTTAAAATAATACTGATATTAAAACTTGGCAAGGGATATGAGAAAACAAAAAAACGACACCTCCCGGGTACTTCAAAATTTTGAATATTCAAGAGTAACATTTCTCTAAATTTGTACCATATACTCATAATCTGTAAAAAGTGGAATTCCTGAAAGCCATTTAGATGTTGAGGCACAACAAAATTCTAAAATTTGTTATGGGAGTACAAATCCGAAACTAAACATACATATTTAAAAGAAAGAAACAGAAAACAAAAACAAGATATTTTATATTATACAAATTTTCCATTTTAACATGTTGTAAATTTCATGTTTTGGAAAGAAGTCTACACATATTAAAACAAAAAGACAAAATTTAAGCCCGCCCGCCCCATCTCACTTGTGATGTTTTTTTTTATTTGCCGTGAACTGCAAAATACTAATTTCTTTAGAAGAAATTAAAAACATGTTTTCAGTATCGTGTTGTTTAAAGAATACTATTGTATATTAAAAAAAAAGGCAAAATATAAACCCCGCCCACCCTCTCCATCTCAATTGTGATGATTTTTTTTATTCTTAGAACCTTAAAACACGTTTGAAATGGTAAATTTTTGTAAGAAAATATGGATTTTGCAATTAGGCTCTGCCCCTAGGTCTGCCAACAAATGAAAACTTTATTACTACATTAATTTAGAGGTTATCCGCTTGCTTTTCACTTTTCATTAAAATTATATTTATATTATAGCGTACATGTTTCGGCCTATCTTTCAGCCTTCTTCTTCCTTCAGCCTAATAGGACTGTAATAACCCAAACCTCCCGCCTTTTTTTTGACATTGAACCAAATTTGAAAAGGCCCGCTAAAATTTGAAGTTTGGCCTTGGCTGTGATCGTCTACAAAAGTGGGACCCTACATTGTGTTTTGAAAACTGGCGGGAGGCGTTCGTTCATACAAATTGGCGCACTGCGGAGCGGGAAGAGTGACGGAATTAAAAAACTTACGTTTGAAAAAAAAACTATGAGAAATAAATCCAATGAGAGCTCAAGGGACCTTGGCCAGGGGCCCCATAAGAGCTTAAAGAATTTATTCCTCAGAGAAAAAAAAAACCTTTATTTTCGTTGGAACCTGAGAACATAACAAAATATTAGCAACCTCATAAGTACAACAAGAAGCAAAATTAAAAGTCGCGGAATTCTCGGAAAAGTAAATGGATGGCAACGTTCCAGATATTACGGTAGTGTGGCCTCTATAAACAAAATGGGGGCGCACAGCGAGGGCAGGGCGGCTCCCCGTGAGGGCCCACGAGGTCCTCCTGCTTCACCACTTCACGCGCGTGGTCTTACGCACCCGCATGCCGCGACTCACCCTTCTCAAACACGTCCCTTCTGCGCATCTCCCTCTTAGTGGTTTTCGTTTCTTTCCATTTCTATCACTTTTCTTACCAAAAGTTCGGCGCTTGGAAAATTGGTTCGAAACGGCTTACTACAGGACCAATAAGGAAAAATATCTAACGACTGCAAAATCCATGTAAAAACAGTTAGGTTAGGAATACATTAATTATAGTGACGAAGCTGAAAGATAGGCCGAAACATGTACGCTGTAATATGAGTGGGGCTTAATTTTTGGCTTTAATTTATTATATTTTATTATTATTATTAATATTCAATAATATTATACCTTTTTTCTTGATATACAGAGTCATCTTTTCAGAACGAGAAACTTAAAACATGTTTAAAATGGTAAATTCTTGTAGACAAATATGGATCTTGCAATTAAGCCCCGCCTCTCGATCTGAGAACGAGTGAAAAATTCATCACAATTGAGAACTGAGACCGGGGCGGGTATGGGTGGGGTCTAATCTTTGGCTTTATTTTTTTTTAATATACATAATTCTATTCTTTGAACAACACGATACTCAAAAACATGTTTCTAATTTCTCGTAGAAAAATAAGGATTTTGCAGTTAAGCTCGGCCCCCTTGGCTCACGACTAATAAAAAAAAATTGGTCTAAAGAGTTTAGACAGTGCTTCCCTCGCTGTCGGAAACGTGACGACTGCATGCCTATTATGTTTTTTTTTTCGCAGTGGATTTCAAAGAATTCGGTTTTGTAGTTCCTGAGTAAATCAGTAAAATAAATTTACGCATTCATTATTTTTTTTGAGTCACCCTGTATATGCAAATCCAAAAAATATGAATGGAGTGATATATCACAAGCACAGACTCATCATATTTTGCACAGTTTGGATAGGATTTATTCGACAAACTTTCGACTGACGTCATCAATTTTTTGGAGGGGATAAGCAAATATATTTTGACTAAACATTTATTATGTTCTTTATAACCTTAAAACATTTGCAAGATTTCAAAGCATTCGGTTTTGTAGTTCCTGAGTAAATCAGTAAAATAAATTTACGCATTAATTAATTTTTTTGAGTCACCCTGTATATGCAAATCCAAAAAATATGAATGGAGTGATAGATCACAAGTACAGACTCATTTTGTACATTTTAGATATGATTTATTCGGCAAATTTTTGAGGTAACGTCATCAAGTTTTTGGAGGGGATAACCAAGTATATTTTGACTAAAGATTTATGATGCTCTTTATAGCCTTAAAACATCTGCAACATTTCAAAGCATTCGGGTTAGCAGATTCAAAATTAAATTTCAAAATGTTGTTTTATAATTTTGATTTTTTTTTCCAAAAATCTGGACGTTTCGGGTGAAAACTCAATTCGGAATTGTAAACTATGTATAGAACTATGTTATTTTATACAATTTAAAACACATTTACTATGTACAATTTTGAAGTGACGTCATGGCATTAGTGGTGGGGATGATTAGACAAATTTTGGTTAGCGTTTTACCATCTACATGATATTCCTAATATAAGTACAAAATTTCACAACAATCGGTCCAGTACTTTCGGAGATTATCTGTATAATAAAAATCCGGGACAGCAGATAGACGGACAGACGGACAGACGGACAGACGGACAAGTTGTTTTTTGGAAATATACATTTTTTATATGATTTTGTTGTCACTAAAAGCTGTACTTCTCAATTTACGCTTGTTACTTACAATACTTAAGTACGCAATGTAAGTACAGTAGACGCCGCTTAATATGATCACGGTTAATGTTATCAACCGCTTAGTGTGATCAAAATGGCTTGGAACGGACCCACGCAATACCTATGCATTACAGTTTTTCCGTTTATTGTGATCAATATTTCGCTTATTGTGATCAATCTCGCAATTCTTATACAAACGGGAATTGCTTTTTTGGAGAAGCGAGACGCCTGAAACTAGTATTGTGTTTTAATGAACATTCATTGCTCTCAAAAGGTACATTCGCTTATACCACTTACTTTATACAACCACAATCAGTGGTCAAAAACAGACTTAAGTAATCAGTGTGTTTTCGACTTTTGAACGAACGAATTCTTTCTGTTTTAAATTTGAGTAGTATTGATGTAAAAATTAGCACGTCGAAACGACGAAATCTTAGTTTATCAGAGAAAAAAAAAAAAAAAAATTCCCAGCCCTTACTTAACAAATTTCTACAACAACCAAAGGAAATCGAGGGTTCCTTTCTCAGAATGGTAACCAAAATTTAAAATAAATTCAAATATTTATGTACCTTCATCTATCAGGGTAATAAACACTGTCTTATTCATGATTTTGTTTTGTTTCGAGTTTTACTGTCTTTGATGGTGGGGTTCGCTTATTATTATCAGTCGGTTAGTGTGATCAATTTGTCTGAGTCCCAAAGTGATCACATTAAGCGGCGTCCACTGTACATTAAAGTTACTAAAACCTAAAAGATTTAGTACAAGAATAAATGACTTGACAAGTGTTAATAATGTCATTTTGACCACTTGTTCTAAATAAAGCGAAATGACTACTTTTACTTTATCCACATTATGACATTATTACATATCCTAAATGAAAGAAAAAGGAGTGAATAGCGGTAGCTTAGTTGTCTCATACGGATAGAGCTGTTTAGTTTCACCTTACTCCTTTCATTGCAGATCCACGACAATGGTCGATTAATTAGAGAGTAAAACTTCATGGCTTTTGGCAGCAGGGCCGTGCGATTTGTGAAGATGCATATTTCAAGTATTATGTTAATATTTCGGTGTTTATCCTAGTCATGTAAATAAATGTTTGATATTTGAAAGTATTTTTTTTGTGGTGTAGAAATTTCAACGACTAGAGACACTTAATGTAATTATTATCTGATAATTTTATCTTATGTACAAGACAACCTTTATCGGGTGGTTCAGTCATAATTTCATCTTCTCTGATATCACCGATTTTATCGCATGATATCCTCTAGACTGTTTTTAATTTTTTTTTATTTTTTCATATCTACGTCGTGGATTATTTTCAAAACTGTTGTCAATATGAAACCAAAAGTCGACGGTGAACATTGAATGTGATTTTTAAATTAATTCGAAAAATATGCTTATCAATCGCAGATTTTCTTTACAGTACCGCCAATATTCGTGTTTGACTGTTCACAGAGTTTGTTTTTTTCCACACTACCGGTTTAACATTTTTTTTTTAATTTGCGGATAGAAACTGTATCAATAATATTTTACTTTCCGAGTGTAAGCTACCAGGTTTTATTCGGTGAATTGCTACTTTCATGTTTTCTCGACATTTTAGAATACGCAGAATTAGGTCGTTTCTGTCTGCCTGACTGTAGCCTGTTGGTGCTGATTTTGTGTACACAGTAGAAGTTAAGCATGTGCTGATAATATTTTTTCCGTTGGTTTTCTGAGCGATAAGCTGATAGGCGGTAAGTATCATATCACGTTTTTCTGCACGGTGAGTTTTTCCAAGGGTGGGTATTTAATAATAATTGCAACACCTCCACTGATATGTCGAGTTGGGATTTTGTAGATTCTGCTCCAATTTGGTAAATTTCTTGACGCTCTTCCGTTATTATCCTGCTCATTGTTTAATAGTATTATTTCTTGTATTTCGATCTGATCCTCGTTGATTTCTAATCTTCTTCTTTGATCTATTTGCACTGGCTTCCCACTGATTTCTCTTTATATGTGTCTCTAAAAAATTCAAACCATCTCTTTTACCTTTTTTAAATCTCTCCACGGTGATCTAATAATTTTGCTAATTGCGCGTATTTTCTTTCTCCTAAATTTTTGAAGATTTCGTATAGTCTTCTCATGTAATTCCGTCTTGTTATTCGTTCTTCATTCTCTTTTAAACTATCTTTTTTCTTTTTTATCATGTTCTTTGTTTATAATAGTTTTAATTTTGTCTCTTTTCGATTCCATTGAGTCCATCAGGGGAATTGCTACTTTTAAATTTTCTTAATGTGTCGTGACCTCTTGAGTACAAAAATATAGGTTTCCCGTTTCCGTATGTTTGTCCTACCGCCGTCTGTGTGAATTTTTAACAGACAGATAATCTCCGAAACTACTGGGCCGATTGTTGTTAAACTTTATTATGCATTATGAACTTCATGTGCGTGGTAGAACCCTAACCAAACTTTATCTAATCTTCCCCACCGACAACGTGATGACGTCACACTTCACCTCAAAATTGTACATAGTAAATGGATTTTAAATTGTACAGTCCGTCATGTGTAGTTTATAAATTCGTGTTGAGTTAAAGAGATACATATATAGATTTTTGGAATAAAAACAATAAAAATTTGTATATAACATATTTTATAAAATATGTAATTTATTTAAACATTTTCGAATTTAATTTTGAAACTGAAAACCGAATATTTTGAAATCTTGCAGACGTTTTAAAGTTATCATAAGCATTTTAAATTTTTAATCAAAATATATTTGTATATCTCCTTCAAAAAAGTTATTACATCATCTCAAAATTTTGTCAAATAAATTTTATTTAAAATGCGGATTTGATGAGTCTATACTTGTGATTTATCCTCCCATTCATTTTTTTAGAACTGCTTATACAGGCTGACTAAAAAAAATCAATTAGTCAACATATGTCATTGATTAAATCAGGAACTGCAAAAGCGAAGGTTTTGAAATCTTGCAGTCATTTTAAAGTTATCGCAAGCATGGTAATTTTTTATCAAAATATGTCTGTTTATCCCCCTCAAAAAATTGATGACGTCATCTCAAAATTTATTGTACAAGGTGACTAAAAAAATGAATAAATGAGTCAAATTATTTTATTGATTAAATCAGGAACGGCGCACTCCATTTTCCCGAAAATTTAGAAATATAATACTGTTACTATTAGTGTTACACTGCACCTATCCAAATTGAAATACGTCTCCTTGCAAAAATGTTGATGGCGTCGTCACAACATTCTTAAAGGAAAAACTCATTTGAAACGGACGCATAGCACGCTTCCTTATATTTACTTTAACATTAGAAACATATCTTTATTTTTACTTGTAGGGGTTCTCTTAAAAAAAGTAAAATTATCGAAATAAAATTTATAATTTTTTGAAGAAGTTGGAAATGTTTTATTGTACTTCAGGGGCCAAGGGAGTTCTGTTGAAATAATCAACGACTATTTTTTTATGTCTGCTATAGTTTCGACATATCAACAAAAGTCGATGGGAATAAACTTGCCTTCAACGTCAATCCTAAAAACTTCATTTCTAGAGTTTTCTGAAATGTTCATTGATGTAAATAGGTTTCCAGTTTGGATTAATAACAACATAAAACTAGCATTAAAATAAAGAAGTCTGATAAAAAAATAAATTAATTTTCATAATGCTAGTGATCTGAAACAGGTCAGGAAAGGAAGGATCATATTCTTGTACAAATAAATAATTTCAAGACCAAATAAGTACAATAAGTATAAAATAAAATTGATATATTTTTTTGTGTTTAATAAAAAATTTAACGATTTAAACACCAGCTACCGCGACTACTACATAAACAGCCCCCATGACAAGGCGTACCTGCCTTGTTACAGCCGCAACGACGATCAGCACACTGGATCTGGCGGCATCCACAACCCTGTAAAAATTAATAACGTTAATAAAATTGATACAAATGATTTATACCACTACAAACCCCTGAAGCTCTAGGTAAAGAAGGGCAACCAAGTCCAAATCTAGAATCAACATTCACAAGAATATTGTTAATTACAGGCTGAGATTGACGTGGTGAAGTATAATTGTAATGCCAAGACTGATTGTACGTTTCGTAGATATTGTACACTGGACTGAAAGTTTGGGAATTTCTAAGGAAATTGGCTTGAAAGTGACGATGTTCTAAAATAAATGTCACCAAACTATATAGGTACACAACCTCCATATTTAACTTACCGTTTTGTTTTTCCGCGCTACTGGGTCGTGCCACTTGTAATGAACTTCTAGTTCCTTCCTTCTTTGCAACCTGTAAATTGCCTAAAGAAAAAAAATACTGCATGGTTCTAAAATTAATGGAGTACCAAATTCTCTCTCCAAATTTCTAATAGGTACCACTGCGGATGATGATGTACTTTCCTTATTTTTTCTTATGTCTGTAATATATTTCTAAAACATACACTTATCAAACTAGATTTATGTTAAAAACATTGACACACCTCGTGGATTAAACTGAAATTTATGTTATTAAAACTGAGTAAAATAATCGACATAAATTCACCTGTCGTGTTCATTCTTCCCATATGATTTCTTTTCAAGTATCAACTCTTTGGTTTCTGGAATTTTGCGAACCGTTGATTTACGACTTGACGAAGCCTGAAATCTCAAGTCAACTCAACAAATTCCTGTTTGTTAATTTTCTTTTGAACATACCTTTGAAAGGTCAAAATTCCACTCTAGCGAATTATAATCCTGAAAAAATGTATAAAGCTTCGTCTACACTGTATATAAATGTTTATTACCTGAAGTGACTTACAATTATTTACTTTTGACGCTTCCTTTTCTTTTTTAACGTTAAACGAATTTAATGGAGAGCTGCTCCTACTTGAGGAACTTGACTCAGTTTTAGTGGTGACTTTCTAAAAATTAATAAAGGTACGCATTAATTAAAAAAGAAAATGTTTACCTGATGCTGTGAATAGAGTCTAGAAGATTTAGGCATACTGATTAACATTGAAGATGTTGTTGCAACAGGTTCCATCTAGAAGAGAAAATTGTAGACAGAACTTGGTATATTATTTTAACAAAGGTAACAATCACGAAAACCGCATTTACAAAAGGCAATTGTTTAAACAAAAATGAAACGCATTCGACGCCCCTGTTTCTCTGAACGAGGTGTAATTAGTATAAGACCAGTTAGTTAGCCATTTTCTAATCGGCGATGTCGTTAAACTTTGCCGTATTATTTTTGTTTTATTATTTGTAAATTTACATTTCCTGTCAAGATTTTTAATTGTTCATGGTTCAGGTCCAGTTTTATTTTTTGCAACGGTATGTTGAAAGTTCTGGATGGATAATTTCCTGTCAAGATTTTTAATTGTTCATGGTTCAGGTCCAGTTTTATTTTTTGGAACGATATGTTAAAAGTTCTGGATGGTTTTTTTAAGTCATTATAACGAGTATATAATAAAAACTATATTTGGAAGTTTTGGAACAGGCTTTGGAATTATTATTTAGTGTTTATTTGTAACAAGGGAAGTATTTTCGGAGACAAAGTAGGAACCGGCGTGGGTAAAACGCAATAATTTATTTTTCAGTAGTACTCAGTTACACAACTAACTATACAGCGATTATGTACAGAATAATTCCGATTCGACTGGAATGGATTTGACTAGACCCAAATTCTCTCAACATTCGACTAGCCTACTTCCTACAGTGATCCCTATTTAAATAATCTTTTTTTCCGCTGGATGTTTAGCGAACGACGCTTCGAGGTTTTTCTGGAGCCCGCCAACGAGACTTTCGGCAATCCGCTTCACTATGTAAATTCACAAAACACGAGAAAGTGGACTTCAGAAAATCCACACTTTTTCATTTAGGATGCGATCAACCAAAGAAGAATTAGTTTTGCATTTGTTTTTTTATGGTAAAAAGTATCTTATTATTTAAACAATAATAAAATAAATGATTTTTCAGGAAACAAATCCTGAAAGAAACCGAGGGGAAATTTTAGCTCCATTTTCCAATCAACTGGTTGATGATGATTCAGTATACGGTTACTTTCAGCAGGATGGTGCTACTGTTCATATAAATGGTGCTACAATAGATTTTTTGACTAAATTTTATGACAATAGCATTATTAGTCGCGATACACCAGACAACTGACCGCCTCGATCATGTGAGGAAACGAATTTCTTCTAATAACCATGATGATTATGATTACTTCCATTTATTTTTTATTTCAAAAGTAACTTGTTAGCATAAAACACTTAAAAAATAAATTAATTTTGAAGTAGTACTAATTAACCAAAGTTTTTCAAACATTGCTAAAATGATGAAATGGTTTCTAACGTAACATTATTTTGTTGTTAAATATCATTTTCAATAACCATCAGTTTCTGACTTGAGGACTCTTTATACACTCCAAAAAAGCCGTAAACAAATTAGTTTTCACCGCCAATGGGCCGTCGAGAACTTTCTCGTCTTACGCCGATGATGATTCATCCTCAATGCGACCCAACGACGGAGCGCTAAAGAAATGCCGGGAAGCGGAAGTCGCGAGAGGCAATCCTGAAAGATCCCGATCACGCAAATCTAGAAGGAAGTATGGGTTTTAAATAGAGGCCACCTCCGGGAACGATTATTATTCAGCTAGATGAGTCAAGAGAAGTTTCGCCGGAATTATTTATAATCGCTGTAATAGATAGTCGTGTAAATTGTTGAGTTTATCCATGCCGATTTTAATTCACTGTCCAACGTAATAATATTTTTATTGTACATCCGTTATTATTGACAATTCATATCCGCTCGAGATTTAAAATAATTAATTCATGGCATTTAAATTCATCTTAAACGTTGTTTCATTTTATGGGAAAAAAATTATTATTGTTTTGATTTTGATCGTATTTATTTAATATGTGCCTGTTGTGTTTCTTCCATATGTAGTATGTAATTTGCCGTCGATATTTTGGATTTTAATTAAGCATTCTTTTCCAACCTTGGGGTTTACAAAAAACACAACGTAGGATCACAACCCAAGGCGAAATTTTGAACTTTTCGCGGTTTAAAACCTCCATCAAATTTCCTCAAAAACTAATATTTTATGTACTACGTTCATAAAGTCACAAGTTAATAAGTTAATAACCACTATGATTTTAGCTAATGTATCGTCAGCTTATCAAAATAAACGTATCTGCTATACAGAATAAAAGAATTGAATTTACTTACATTTGTTACATCACCTCTGGTTTTGGCACTGGGCAATAAAATCGAAGAAATGGCATTTGTGGAATGGGTTGTTGTAGACTGCGAAAAGTTTTGTTACAAATTTATAAAGCGAAATTAAAAATGAAACATGTTACCGTCATGTTTAAATCAAAACTTGGACGAGTGAACACACTAGAACCAAGTACATTTACCGACTGAATTGTTGTTGCCTGAAAAGCGAAAAATCTACGTATTTTATTCACAACAAAATATGTGACGTTACCGTGGTATTACAACCAAAACTTGATATAGGACCAGTGAACACACTTGAGAAAATGGTATTTGCAGTCTGAACTGTTGTAGGCTGAAAAGTGAAAAATGTATGAACAAATGTCTGTTTAGACTGAAGTGTCGAGGTTACCGTGGTGTTAAACTCAAAAGTTGATTTAGGACTGCTGAACAAATTTGAAGAAAGGAAATTAGAATTCTCAGCTGTTGTAGCCTAAAACGAGAAAGAAATACGTGTAGGTAACTGTTTATTACATTGCAGCATTTGAAGTTACCAGAGTTTTAGAATCACAGCTTGATTTAGGACTGCTGAACAAATCTAATGAGGCAGAATTTACAGACTGAGCTGTGGCCACCTGTGAAAAATTACATATCTATGTGAAAAAATCTAAATCTCTATTCACACAAAAATATCTGCATTTACAACTGTTTTGAACTCGAAATTTGATTCAGAAGTGTTGAATAAGTTTGTGGAAATAAAATTTAAAGTTTTCGTAGTCTACAAATTTGAATTTACCGCTGTTTTAGAATCAGAGCTGGATTTAAGGCTGCCAAATGAATTAGAGAAAGAAACAGTTATTGGATTATGGTCGAAACTAATTTTAAGACTGTCGAAGGGACGTCCAGTTGTAGATTGTGTTGTTATCACAGGTGCAGGCAGAGTCTGTAAAAAAGAAACAAAATTGGAATTTTCGTACTGAAAATAATATTAGGTATTTATACTTGAGTTCTGCAAATATATACAATACAAACTTGAAGATTTTTTTGCGCCCTATTATAAGCAAATACAATTAATTAACAGTAGGTTGGAAATCTGAGGTCATTAAAAGTTTAGTTATATTATGATATGTACACAGAATTTGTAGAAATTTTTGTTATTCAATTAATTCAGTCCTGAGAACGGACAGAGAAATTGAAATTCTATAAACGCCATTGTTTTTGCAAACTTTAAACAGCAGTTACTTAGCAAAATTTGAAATTGCGTCAAAAAATTTTTGAGAGAGATGAACAGATTTATCTGTCAAATCACCAAAAGACAGAAGACAGACAGACGGATGGAAACAGCGACGTAGTTTTTCATATTCTAGACGCTATGAAACGTCGAGAAAACATGAAATTAACATTTCTTCAACATATCGCATAATGAACAAATCTTGTTGCTGCGTTGTTCAATTTTATTATTATTAATTATTTACAAAGAAAGATTATAGGTACATTATACTTGTTACTGTGGTGTTTGACCGAACAAAGTTGTAGTTTGTTCTCTAAAAGTAAATCAGTGTTCAAACTGAAATACTTAATTGTATTTTTCTGAAGAATTCTAAAAATGTTAATGAAGTTTTTGATACCCGAAAGGCACCGTAATAAAATAATATAGGTACTCACCGGCAAGGAAGTATAACACCATGCCGTCGAGGTATTGCGACTGGGTGCTTAAAAAAAATGTGTAAAAAAAAGACCTTTACAAATAATCCAGCATTTACTTGTGTCTTTATTCTGTACTAATATTGGCATCAGTGGTTTTCCTCCTGAAATGTAATTCTCGTTAGAGATTTCCCTTCCCAGATAAAGCACAGTGTGTCCAACCACTATGTCAAAGTTACCAGACAATATTATGTTGCTCACCTGTATCAAACTGCTTCAGGCGCCTTTTTAAAGTCTCGAGTCGCATCAAGGCCATCAGTCCTACCAATCGATTAAAAATAGATGTATATGTATTTCGTGGAACTTACCAGCGGCTTCCAGGACTTCATCTTCCGACTCTGCTAAGATTTTAGCTGCTTTTTCAAATCTTAAATCCTAACAAAATTAAATATATCGACGACTTTACTGCGTTTCTAATTAATATTTGTAAAATACTTACGATGAGTGACATTTTCTAAATTGTGGAACACGCACTAAATGAAATATGAACTCACAATACAACAATTTCCATCAAATGCATGCTGGGAAGCACAAAATAATTGATTACGAGTAGATAAGTAATCTCCCTCAAGGTTGTTAGTGCGAGATAGGTGTGTCCATTCTATATAAACAAATAGTAATAGCCTGTAATATAGCTACGGTACAAAATAACAACTTAAAATAATGCTGATAGTAAAACTTGGCGAGGGATATGAGAAAACAAAAAATGTAGAGGAATATCACCTAATATGACGACACCTACGGGGTACCTCAATATTTTGGATATTCAAGAGTAACATCTCTCGAAATTTGTACCATACTCATAATCTGTAAAAGTGGAATTCCTGAGAGCCATTTACATGTTGAGGCCCCTCCGAGTTTGTTATGGGAGTACAAATCCGAAACTAAACATACTTGAAAGAAAGAAACAAAAAACAAAAAAAATAAGATATTTTATATTTTGCCTTTTTTTTCATATACATAGTATTCTTTGAACAACATGATACTCAAAAACATGTTTATTTATATTTTGCCTTTTTTTTAATATACATAGCCATTTTTTCACAACAAGAAACATAAAACATGGTTAAAATGGTACATTTTTGCAAGGAAATCTGGATTTCGTAATTATGGGGCGGAGTCTAATTGCAAAATCGATACTTCCTTATATAAATTTTCCAATTTAAACATGTTGTAAATTTCATGTTGTGAAAAGTAATCTACACACATTAAAACAGAAAGACAAACTTTAGGCCCGCCCGCCCGCCCTATCTCAATTGTGATGATTTTTTTTATTCGCCGTGAACCAAGGGGGCGGAGCTTAAATGCAAAATACTTATTTCTTTACACGAATTAAAAACATGTTTTTTAGTATCGTGTTGTTCAAAGAATACTATGAAAAGACGACTACGTATATTAAAAGACAAAATATAAGCCCCGTCCACCCACCTCATCTCAATTGTGATGATTTTTTTTAATCTTAGAAACTTAAAACACGTTTAAAATGGTAAATTTTTGTAAGAAAATATGGATTTTGCAATTAAGCTCCGCTCCTAGGTTTGCCACCGAATGAAAACTTCATTACTATTTAGATCAGGGCAGGTATGGGTGGGACTTAATCTTTTAATTTTTCCTTAATATACACAGTATTATTAGAATAATACGATACTCAAAAACATGTCTTACATGGTAATTTCTTGTATAGAAGTAATAAGGATTTTGCAATTAAATTCACTCCTTTGGTTCTCGACGAATAAAAAAATACGTAGTCGTCTTTTCAGAACAAGAAACTTAAAACATGTTTAAAATGGTAAATTTGTATAAGGAAATATGGATTTTGCACAACAAATGAAAAATTCATCACGTCTGAGATCGAAACGAATGGGTGGGGTTTCTCTTTTGATTTTCTTTTTTAATTAATACATTTAGTTTTCTTTGTATAACACGATTACTTAAGAACATATTTCACGTGATAATTTCTCGTGGAAAAATAAGGATTTTACAATTAAGTTCCGCCCTTCGGCTTACGACGAATAAAAAAAAATCAGAATAAAGATAGGGCGGGTGGGCGGGGCTTATATTTTGCCTTTTTTCTTAATATACATAGCCATCTTTCCACAACAAGAAACTTAAAATATGGTTAAAATGGTACATTTTTGCAAAGAAATATGGATTTTCCAATTATGGAATGGAGCCTAATTGCAAAATCGATATTTCCTTATACAAATTTTCCATTTTAAACATCTTTTAAATTTCATGTAGTGAAAAGAAGTCTACAAATATTAAAAACAAAAAGGCAAAATGTAAAAAATTAAATTTCCGCTCCTTTGGCTCTCGACGATTAAAAAAATTATCACAATTGAGCGGGTGGGCGTTACTAATATTTTGCCTTCTATCTCAATACACATAGTCGTCTTTTCACAAATAGAAACTTAAAACAAGTTTAAAATGGTCCATTCTTGTAGACAAATATGGATCTTGCAATTAAGCTCCGTCCCTCGATCTGACAACGAATGAAAAATTAATCACAATTGAGATCTGAGATCGGAGCGGGTATGGGTGGGCTTCATTTTTTTCTTCATATACATAATAGGTCCATTCTGAATCAAACATGTTAAAATTTAAAGGTTTTTAATAAATAAACAGCCAATCAGATTTAACACCCTTTGAATTTAACAGCTTTGATCCAGAATCCCCTATAGTATTCTTTGAACAAAAACATGTTTTTAATTGCAAGTAGAGAAATAAGGATTTTGCAGCCCCTTGGCTCACGACAAATAAAAAAAATCATCACAATTGAGATAAGGGGGGTGGGCGGGGATACATTTTGCCCTTTTTTTCTTAATATGTATAAATTTATTTCGACAACAAGAAACTTAAAAAATGTCTAAAATGGTAAATTTTTGTAGTAATCAACTTAGATCCTTTAAATACGCCAAAAGTTGAATATCAAAGTTACTATCAACAGCAACTTGGCAACGGAGTTTATAAATGACAATTTACACGTTCAGCGCCAACCACTGATCGCATTTTGTATATAATAGGTATATTTCACGTGGTCAGCACATACAATCTTTTTTGGTTTTTGTGCTAAATATTACCCAGTGTTGCATAAAGTTTTGAAGTCGTCCCTAAATAAAGTTTTCTAGCGACGCAGTTTTCTGTGAACAAATTTCATCGAGGCAGTTAGTTTGTTATTTAAAGTTTTATATTAAAATTTTTATAACGCATTTCGCGGAGTAAGTGTTAAAAGATTTAAGAAACCTCGAGGGCTCTCACTTTAATAAAAGCTTACAAAAACGTTTTGATCACTTGATGCTCTTTAAACCAAAAACTGTCTGGTTAAAACACACCTTGTTGGAATTAGTTGTCTTGATTATGCCAACCTAGATAAAATTGTCAAAAAATTCACGCATAGGTGAATACAATGTGAAACTGATGATAGCGTTAACGTATCCCACAATTTCATGAAAAAAAGGCATTTTAATATAAAGAATAATTTTAACTAATTAAATAACATTTGTTTTAATAATTTTTTGAAAAACATCATCTGTTTCAAAAATTACATCCACAGATTATTGAAAACTATTAAATCCAGCTTAAAAGTAATTGGTTCAATAGTTTCAAAAATTAGTAGTCGAATGAATAAATAAACGATAAAGAGTTTTTTCCTTGATTTTGCCGTTTTTTCACGCTTGTAACTTTTTTAGTCTCAAAATCAATAATTTTATAGTGGAGTTTCAAGACCATTTTTTGGAGCGAAAATTTTTGTTTTTTACGCAAACGTTCAAATTTTACCGCCAAAAGTGAAACTCCCCTATATTACTACAAAAATGGCTTTTCTGATCACTTTAATGTCACAATCTTTTCTCTCTTAAACACAGTTCTTCTCTTCTATCCTTTGCATCAGTTTTTCTTATATGCAACCCCTGAAAATCATTTTTGCTTTCAAATTTCAATTGAGTAGAAGTGGGTTACCTATGTATATTATGTATAAATTATGTATTTATAAAAATATATATTTCTGTTACTGTTTCACTTTAAATTGAGTTTTACTTATTGTTCTATGTTTTAACTTTGTTTCTGTTCACTCCACATTAGGCCATAAACGTCAGACAATTTTTGTTCTGTGAATTTAAAAATAAACTACCCCATAATAGATGACTTTCCTCTATTATAAAACATGGCTGTTCTTTAAGTTCGACACATTTTTGTTACACAGCGGATTTACAAAAATTATCGAACACGAGTGAGGAATACCTACTGCCAAAAATGTCCAAAAATTTAAGAAAAGTACACTATATATAGAAATTAAAAAAAAACTTGCGGGAGAATAGAGAGTTTACTGAACTAAAAATGGAATCCAGAGTATTACAAAAAAATTATAATTTGACTTAAAAACTGTGGAGTTGTGTTGATTTAACCATCTTAGGCCGTTTCATTCACTTCTACTTCAAGCTCCGATACTGCTTTCAGTATACTATCCTCAAACATATTTGGCGTTTATGACTTCACACCAATTTGACTCCCATTATAATTCAATAGGCCGTCACAACCTGATGTCTTAAACCCGCTCACCGATACCTACCTGAAAAGACCTTTTCGACGTGCCAGGGACGGTCGAGACGCGAAGGACCGGACTCAGAGTAATTTTGTTTATTAAAATTTTCAAATTTCAAAATTTCCCTACAGAACATGATTTATACTTTGAAGAAAATTACACAAAGACACAATTATTAGAAGTGTTACACACTCGAAAATTTGAGAAACAATATAAAATAGATGCTATGGCGCGAGATCGTGGATTTATAGGGTGATTAGACTTCCGCCGTACCATTGTATATTTAACCCCATCGAACTAATCTGGTCGCAAATGAAAAATAATATAAGAAGGAATAATACGGCACCAAAATTTAGTAGTGCAACAATTGACATAATTAGGGAAGAAGCTTCCAAAATAACTGCCGAAATGTGGGCCAATTGTGTACGACATTCCACAAAAGAAGAAGACCAGTACAGGGCACGGTTGATAACACCGTTAATTATTAATTTAGAAGAGTCGAGTGATGATGACAGTGACTATTTCGATCAATAAATAAGCACTAGTAGTTAATAAGTAAATAGTTGTGCTGTAATAAAAAATGATTTGGCGTTTATGACTTATTTTAAGTAAAAACAAAGTTACTTTGTTTTTACTTAAAATAAAAAACTCGAAAGGCGCAGTTGTCGGTAAATGCAAAACTCAGTCCTGCCCTGTGCTTTTACCAGAAAAGGTCTTTTCAGGTAGGTATCGGTGAGCGGGTTTAAGACATCCGGTTGTGACGGCCTATTGAATTATAATGGGAGTCAAATTGGTGTGAAGTCATAAACGCCAAATATGTTTGAGGATAGTATAACTCTTTTAGTGAACTGCACCTACAAACTAGTAATCAAAAAATATAATAGCAACCAAATCTATTTTAAACTGACTTGTTTTCGAAGGAATTTTTTGTATCTGATGCAAACTCATTGTCGGTATAAATACTTATATTTTTATTGCATATATTTTTCAAAATACTCATAACCTCCGGTTCGCGATTTTTAAATGCCTCGATCTTCATTTTAGCTCGTTCAAGTATAGATTTGATTCTCTGTTTGTGCTCTTCAAGCTCTCCTTTTTGTTTTCCTTCGTAAAACAGAAACCTTATTTCCTCAAAACTGTAACTATCAAGCTCTAGAAAAGCAGGCTTTTTCTTGAAAGGATAATAAGCTGACAGCAGCCACTGGCCTCCTAACTCTGCTTTAGTTAGATCATCGTGTATAACTAACCAATGTGCCAAAGTAATCGGATCAAGCACCCTGGAAGCTGTATCTTCCCACTGATTATTTTCTTCTGAAATCGTCTCAAGTGGATCTATTTTAATTTCACCGACAATTTCATAGAAATCCCACTCTTCGTCGAATGAAGATACTGTCAATCTTCTCGTCTTTCTTACCAGAGCTTTGACACTGTGTTTAAGTTCCTATAATCGAAAATAAACTTTGTGATAAAAATATAAAACAACGCTCTGTTTTGATGTAGGAAGAAAAAATTTCTCATTTACCTTTAATAAGTCTGTCAGTGACGGTGGTCTAAAGAACATAAAAACAAATTTTGTTCATCAGTCTTATTTTTAACTTACTCTTTTGTCGATGTAACGGTTTGGTTCTTCGTCAGTTGAATATTCGCTTTGGCATTCTAAAACATAGTTACGTCTAAAGTGTGTACACACGTAACCCTGAAATACTTAGGTACCGTAGAAGATGAATTGGAAGTGGTTGCTGAAACGATATTTGTATATTTATCTGTGTTTTGAGCAAACAAAATATTCTGAAAAATATGCCAAATAAAGTTTGTAACAAATATCTGTAAATGTATCTCTACTTTTGATGGCTGCATACTTGAAGTTCCACTGTTGAAGTTTTTTAGATCCTCTAAACGCCTTAATGCAACTGCTCCTACCAAAGAAAATTCAAAACAGCATTTAATTTTTTGTACATTAATACCTACCTAGAGATTGTAAAACTTCATCATCTGAGCTTTCTAGAACTTTGGCAGATTGTGCATATTTTAAATTAGTTAAAACTGGATCTGAAAAACCATACTATAAGCTAATATATAACTAAAATGAGTTTAAGACAATTTTCTTAATAAAGTAAGTATTATCTTTAGGTTATCCAATGATGACGAGAACTAATAAGAATTAAATAAGTCAAATTCTTAAATGAGATACCCCTTCTTCTCACGATGAGAGTCTGATTTCTGTCTTTTGCTAAGTAATGTTACCAACCTTCATTTTGAAATATCAAGAGACTTTGTTTAAAATGTCGGTGTGGAGACAATAGGGTCCTGGAGACCGGACCAGTTGCTCTAATTTAACAAAAGAAGCTCGTCGTCTATATACCACTTTCACGTTGAAGTAAGTGTAAATGGGAAGATTAGGCGCGGGGGCCTGAAGTCTTTAACTATAAGATATTCAAGCGGTTGGGATCCATTCCCGTTCAGGATGATTATTAAAATTGGTTATAAATCAAAAATCCTGTCTTCCTGAACCAAGTCAATGTTTGAAACAAAAACGCTACATATACATATTATATGTTTCGGCCTATTTAAAAAATTTGGTGGATGATTAGGATTACACAAATTGACTATGAGCCAATTGACTATGAGCTACTTTCACGTTTTTTCAACGTTTCATGACCTCCAGAGTATGCTTATATAGGTCTCCCGTTTGCGTCTATTTGTCTGCACCGTCTGTCGATTTTTATTAGATAGACATTCTCCCGAATTACCGCACTGATTGTTGTCAAATTGTATATGTATTTTAGGAATATTGTGTAGATAATACAACGCGTACCAAGTTTTGTCAAATCATTTCAACCGACAATGTGATAACGTTACCTCGAAATGTTTCATACTTGGTATAATGTTATTTAAATTTTATAAAATAATATACTCCTGCAATTGTAGTTTATGGATCCGTCTTGATTTTTCACCCTAGACATCCAGCTTTTTGAAGATTTTTATTTATTTCCAAAACGAATATTTAATTTGGGAGAGAGGGAGTATTAAATTTATGGTACGGACTGTGACCTCAAGAAAAATTATTTTGATATCTATCTATAATACTAGTGCTGACGCAAGCAGTTTTACTGAGAAACAATAAGGCCTTTTTAACACCGTGTTATTATCTACCTTCGGACTGTAGAACATCGTCTTCTGAACTTTTAATATTGTTAGCAGCTGATTCAGATTTTGTGTTCTAAAAAATGCAATAAATATGAGATCCTTTCAATACCAAATGCAGGTTTATCTTATCAGGATTGGACGAAAACTCACCGGAAGTGACATAGTTACAAAAGAATAGTATTACAACACACATATAACTCAATATAAAATACTTTCAAGACTGTGAACTGTCTCCTGGATCTGGGATATACCCACATAATATTAAAGATAAGATAATTTTTTCCAAGGTGTAGATCGGTTAGGTGAAATTATTGTGCAATTACTATGTACTTTCAAAAAAAGAAAACTATAAACATAATTAAAATCTTATTTTTTGGGCCAAAATTTAAGGTAATACTTAATACACCACTCAAAAAAAAAAATTAATTCACGTTATAAGAACAATTTAAATTATAATTTATCCATCACGACAGATTTTATACTCTTAATATATCATATGATAAATTAAACAGTGTCAGTGAGTCTAGTAGAGACGTTTTTTTTTTAATTAAATGGGTTCTTTTTTGTTTCAAAATGTTGCAGTTAAAATATACTTTTTCTGTAAATTACCAAGTAGGTATTTGTTATTTAATAAAGTCAAAGTCTCCTTAAAAATCTCAAAAATTTTAAAATTTGCGGTAGCGCCTTTTTGGTGTTTAAATTTCAACTATTGGGACGACAACGAACACTTCAACATCATGCTATCATAACCTCAAAATTTTGAATACAGATTAGAACAAACAATTTTGTTGGTATATTTTATGGTACCGGTTTACATTTACATTTTATGATACGCAGTTGTCAGCATGTAATGCGTAATATTATTCAATAAAGGAATTTATAAAAAACAAATTTATTTGATTAATTTGTATATACTGTTGTGGTGACCGAATTTGAATTAAAATTTCCCGCTGAAATTAAAAAACAGCGGCGCGAAATCGCATTTGAATAATTTGAATTTGAAAAAAATTCAATCAAGAAAATCGTTAAACATAGGCAACCATGTGCATGTTTAGTTCCTTTTGGGTACCTAGTTGGTAGCTCTCCTAGGGGAATTTGTAGGTAGTATCTGGTAAGAGGGTTGGTAGTGAAGTTTACTTGTTTGGTAGAGGTTAGGTGGTGCGTCACTGTGGTTTTGTTGGTGTGAGTGAAAGGATGCGGTAAGCTAACTAGATTAAGTTTATTTGGTTTGGTAGTTAATACAAGGGAGGAAGCCTTTGTTAAACGAAAATTAATTATAACGACGCCGACGCCACAGTTTCCCCAACATGCGAATTTTCGACCGACGCTAACACGTAAATTTGTTTTATTATGTGTAAATTCACAGTTCATGTTAGGATTTTAATCGTTAACTAGTTCTAACACAATTTAACGGCCCTGAGATTGTTTAGATACAGCACTAGCTTTTTTATAAAGTTATAAATAAGATTTCTGGATGCTTATACTTAAGTGTTACATTATAACACTTCTTAATTCCTCACGCAATATTGTTAATAGTTCATTTACGGCAGTTAAATTAACTTAACATTGTTCCACTCTGGGAAAAGGATCGTGAAAATGCGGTAGAATTCATAATATCGTTTACTGAGGGTCGGGGGACTAAATTTTCCCCCTTAGGCAGTTATCATCATATCATCACATCACTGCGACATTTTTCCCGCAACGTTGGAAATTATATTACCGAGACGCATATTTCTCGCAAGGCCGGATGCATTTTGTGTTTATTTATCATGTGTTTTGTTTGGGACAAGCTGGGGACAGTTCAGGATATAAACTCTCAAAGCTAATTGTTTTAAGTAACCAATCTAGTTTCTTTGTTTGAATCGTTGATAAAGTGTGGCATAACTTAACATCAGGTAAATTCTTTGTATGAATCGTTGATAAAGTGTGGCAAATGTTAAACTCATGAAATTTTGTTAGCTTTGCAATTTCTCACCTCATGCAATTTTTCTCTATCACACAATCTTAACTTTTCAGTAATTTTCTTTATTGTATAATTGAAACCAAACATAAATTTTCATGCTCTGCAGTTCCTAACCTCACGTAACTTTTTATCTGTACACGTTTTACTTCACACCAGTTTGTTTTTACTTCCCGAGCGTAAGCAAAGGAAGTATTGTAATCGAGTCCGTCGGCCGACTCTTTACTTTTACGTTTTCTCGATCTTTCATGACCCCTAGAAGACGAAGAAATAGGTCTCCAATTTCCGTCTGTCTGTCCGTCTGTCCGTCTGTCCGTGCGTCTGTCCGTCCGTCTGTCCGTCCGTCTGTCCGTCTGCCGTCCCGGATTTTTATTAGACAGATAATCTCCGAAAGTACTCGACCGATTGTTGTGAAATTTTGTACTTATATTAAGAATATCATGTAGATGGTAAAACGCTAACCAAAATTTGTCTAATCATCCCCACCACTAATGCGATGACGTCACTTCAAAATTGTACATAGTAAATGGGTTTTCAATTGTATAAAATAACATAGTCCTACACATGTAGTTTACAACTCTGAATCGACTTTTCACCCGAAACGTCCAGATTTTTGGAAAAAAAATCAAAATTATAAAACAATATTTTGAAATTTAATTTTTAATCTGCTAACCAGAATGCTTTGAAATGTTGCAGATGTTTTAAGGCTATAAAGAGCATCATAAATCTTTAGTCAAAAAATATTTGCTTATCCCCTCCAAAAACTCGATGACGTCAGCTCAAAAGTTTGTGGAATAAATCATATCTAAAATGTACAAAATATGATGAGTCTGTACTTGTGATCTATCACTCCATTCATATTTTTTGGATTTGCATATACAGGGCGACTCAAAAAAATTAATGAATGCGTAAATATATTTTATTGATTTAATCAGGAACTACAAAACCGAATGCTCTGAAATCTTGCAGATGTTTTAAGATCATAAAGAGCATAATAAATGTTTAGTCAAAATATATTTGCTTATCCCCTCCAAAAACTTGATGACGTCAGCTCGAAAGTTTGCCGAATAAATCATATCTAAAATGTACAAAATATGATGAGTCTGTACTTGTGATCTATCACTCCATTCATATTTTTTGGATTTGCATATACAGGGTGACTCAAAAAAATTAATGAATGCGTAAATATATTTTATTGATTTAATCAGGAACTACAAAACCGAATGCTCTGAAATCTTGCAGATGTTTTAAGGTCATAAAGAGCATAATAAATGTTTAGTCAAAATATATTTGCTTATCCCCTCCAAAAACTTGATGACGTCAGCTCGAAAGTTTGCCGAATAAATCATATCTAAAATGTACAAAATATGATGAGCCTGTACTTGTCATTTATCACTCCATTCATATTTTTTGGATTTGCATATACAGAGTGACTCAAAAAAATTAATGAATGCGTAAATATATTTTATTGATTTAATCAGGAACTACAAAACGGAATGCTCTGACATCTTGCAGATGCTTTAAGGTTATAAAGAGCATAATAAATGTTTAGTCAAAATATATTTGCTTATCCCCTCCAAAAACTTGATGACGTCAGCTCGAAAATTTGCCGAATAAATCATATTTAAAATGTACAAAATATGATCAGTCTGTACTTGTGATTTATCATTCCATTCATATTTTTGGATTTGCATATGCAGGGTGACTCAAAAAAATTAATGAAGGCGTGAATTTATTTTATCGATTTAATCAGGAATTACAAAACCGAATGCTTTGAAATCTTGGAAATATTTTAAAGTTATTATAAGCATGGTAAACTTTTGTTCAAAATGTATTTGTTCATCCCTCCTAAAAAAATTGATGACGTCACCCTTAAATTTTGCTGAATAAATCCTATCTAAAATGCAAAAAATATGATGAGTTTGTACTTGTGATTTATCATTCCATTCATATTTTTTAGATTTTCTTAAGAGGTGGTTCAAAAAAATTAATGAAGTCAATTTATTTTATTGATTAAATTAAAGGCAACACTTATTATTAGTATTACACCCCAACCAACCCAATTTGGTAGACACAAAATTTGTTAAAGGAAAAACTCGGTTGAAACATAAGGGTAGCATGCTTATTTACATCGACTTTAACATTACAGACCTGCATTTGTTTTATGCGGTAACTTGGTTCCGCGAATGCGAAATAGACATGTTTATAATCAACCAATTTCACCGTCAAGAATTAAAATAAAACGCAATGTTTTATATAATAAGCGGAAGTCGAAGCAATAAAACCGATGGTCGTTTTGTTTACAGTTTCTCTGTTTGACTCTCACGTATGCTGTTACGCTTGTCATCTTAAATTAAGAATGTTTATACATAAACGATTTTCAGTTGCCCCTCATATTACTAGACAGCGGATTTCTGTCGGGCTACGTCACGATTATAGGGGGGGACGTGCTGGATTGCATAAATATAATTAACGATTTATTAATCAAACGGCTAAGTAAATGAGAACGGGAATTAACAGCAGAGTGCAACGAAACAACGTTATTCTAATCTCAAATAAACGAAGTGCAGTCTGCAACGGCAATGAATTCGCATCCCGTGCGAGCCGTACCGAGTTTGGCCTTGCCTAGCTTGACAGAAATCCGCTTTCTAGATATTACACACCGGCGCCGTATACGTAAGTAAATTGTTTCGTTATTTTATTGATTATAAGAAATCAATATTCAAAACGACCCAATTCATTTTCCCGAAAATTTGGGAACACAATAATTTTATTCTTAGTATTCCACTACATCTATCCCAACTGATGTACGTGTCCTTGCAAAAATGTTGATGACGTCATCACATTTTTTTTTTAAATTCCCACTACAAAAATGTAATGAGAAAAAAAAAACATAATAGGCATGCAGTCGTCAAGTTTCCGACAGCGAGGGAAGTACTGTCTAAACTCTTTAGACCAATTTTTTTTTGTGTTATAAATCTTGATAGTTTTTCTGACCACGTAAATATTTTGTTGATTAATGTTTCCATCATTCTGTTACACAATACACCCTTACGCCGCCTATGGCCGTCGAGATGTTTCTGGTCGTACGCCGGTGATGACTCATAAAGACAAGTCTGGAACTGGCTACCGGAAGTCTCGATTGCGGGGTCTAGAAAAAAACCTAGAAGCGGCGTTCGAGACCCGTCAAGAGAAATGCAGAGAATTAAATAGAGGCCACCGTCGTGTATATTCGAGTTAGTAAGAAATAAATTGTTGAGTTTTACCCACACCAATTTTATTCGCCCGCTCAACGTAACAATATAAATTGTCCGATGTCCAATCTTAATCTAAGATAAGAATTCTTTGCTGTTTAAAATTTCACGAGAGTATATGGCGAATTCAAATGTTGTTTATTGCTCTGTTATAGAAAGTGAATATTTAAATGGAATTGAGGTAAATAACACAAACATGTGGGAGAAGTGGAGGGCGCGGTTCCTAGTCGAGCTAACCAATAAATAATTTACGTGAGGCTAAATTATGCCACATTTTATCAACAATTCAAACAAAGAATTTACCTGAGACTACTACTACTGAGAAACTGTGTACAAATTCAAGTTACTTGGGACATTACAAATTTAATTCAGCAAGTGAACCGTTCCCCATTACACAAAAAAAGAAACACACTAGAAATTAACATAAACTGTGGTCGAAAAGTCCAAATTTGGCGTTTTTAGTGCGTATCCCACTGCGAGAATATATCAAATGCGAGCGATCTCCAAATCGGCGATTTCTGTGTCTCTCGAAATAAATAAGAACTCCAAGATCCGGCTGGCAACGTGATGACAACCGGATAAAAAAGGCGCAAATTCCCCATCCCACAGTTCACGATATTATCAATTCTAATTCGAAGTATAAACAACAACGAAACACCAGATTCCTCCAAAATTACGACACTTGTTTTTATTGTTACGAGATAAATCCATACGCCGCCCCGGTACGACGCCTATGGGTGACTCAGCGTCGCTGACTGCATTCGCTATAGAAAAGCCAGGAAGCGGAAGTTGCGATAGGTGTTCCAGAGCAAGTCTAGAAGCGGTGACGGCAACCTTTCGAGAAGGACCGCGTGCTGTTTAATTGGGAGCCAGCGTTGGGAGCAGTCAGTGAAGTCCAGACAATGAGAAAAGTAGAGTCTAGTTAAATCCATTCCAGTCGAGTCGAAGTTATTCTGTACATGATCGCTGTGTAATTACTAGTGTAAATTTGAGTTACAAGAAATACATTGGCGAGTTTTACCCACGCCGATTTTAAATCACCGATCATCGCAACATTATATTAAAATGTCGACCTACAAAATTTTGTGTTTGACACGTCTTGAAAATGTTTTACAAATGCTTCTAAATTGAAACCTCATAATTTCATATGTACATTAAAAAAAACAAACAAATTAATAAAAAAATGTTTATTTATGATATTTGAAATACATACTTTAATTCACTTAAAAAAAAACACATATATACAATGTAAAGACGCTTGAACATACAGTTTCCAAGAAAATTTGATTTTCTTTAACCACCATGTAAAATCCAGTTTTTTTAAGTGTACGGCGAAAACAAACGGGCATTTCATTCCACACAATAACATTGTTCAGCTTTTATTGCTATCAAGTGTGGCTGGTACGATTGAAGTATTAGTGTTTATCAATCCTGGTTCTGAGGTAGCAGGTACTTCTTCATTTTTATCAGATGTGTTCTACAAACGAATAACGCTATATGTTCTATGTTCTGTCAACATAAAGTGTGAAGTTTACCTTAGGTGGTATTCCAAAAGAAAAAGACGTATTTCCTTTGCCATTTGATGTCTTCTAAAAAAAAAAAAAAATATATAATAAGAAGCGTGTACTGGCGGTGAAATTATCAGTTACCTGAGCTGATGCCCCGAAAGGTGGCTGAGAAGCACCATATAAATTCGTAGTAGATTCCCCAGCGCTATTTATATTCTAAAACAAAAAACCGTGCAGGTTTATTCATGTGGAAAAACGTAGCACATACTTGTGGACCTGCAAAACCGACGCCAAAGCCAGTAGACTGACTTGAGGCAAAGGTAGCAGGTTGACTTGAACCAAAGGTAGCAGGTTGATTTGACCCAAAGGTAGTGGGTTGAGTTGCACCAAAGGTAGCAGGTTGATTTGAGCCAAATCCAGTAGATTGAGTCGAGCCAAATAGGCTAGGTTGGCCCGAGCCAAATGCAGTAGGCTGACTTGTTGTAGGTTGACTTGAGCTAAATCCAGCAGGTTGATTTGAACTGGATCCAAATGCAGCAGGCTGACTTGACCCAAATACTGTAGGTTGATTTGAACTGGATCCAAATCCGGTAGATTGACTTGCACCAAATGCCGCACCAAGTGGGTTTGCGCCAAAAGTGAAACCTGACGGTTGCTACAATACCAATAACTATAAATAATTGTTACGCTGGTCAAAAATGACATACCTGCCACCAGGGAGTGGGGAATGCATTTGCTGGAAAACAAGGTAAAACTAAATAAAGAAAAATTAAAATATTTAGAAAATAGCAATTTTAATAAGAAAATAACAATTATAACAAGAAAATAAGCAAAAAATACATACGTGGATTTGGATACATCTGCGGTAAGGGTGTCAGTGCTCTTCCTTCTAAAATGAAATAGATGTTTTTATATTACGTGCGATAAGATACTTTACTTCAAGGTAATACATATAATTCTTTGCTACGATATTCTATTTACTTATTTTATGTTAAAATCTAATAGTAAAATGTGACAATTTCTGAAAATTTGAAAGTGCTAAAAGAACGACACAAGACACTTAGAAGCTCTATTTTTCACCAACTATACTAACCAACGCCCGTTTATTAAATAGTTAGAACCGCACACCTACAATAAGGCTCTTTAACCCCATTAAAAATTGATTACGTGTTAAAATTGTCAGTTTTAAAATAAACCAATTTTGTTCACTTCAAAATAACTTCTCACTTGTAAGAAAAAAATTAATAGCCACTTTACAAAAAAACACAACTGGGGAATTCATATCACAATAAATACCTATTACTAACATTAATAAATCAGTATCAATAGTGAAAATGCTGTCATAGAAAAAATTCTGTGTGTAACTCATTAGCAATGTGTTTCACTCTTTAAAAGTACTTAATTTTCGGTTTCACCGTGCTAGTTACAAGTCACCTAAACAAGCATTTAAAATGAACCTAAAATTATGCTTAGAAGATGAATCTTTTTTGTTATTTAAAATGAAAATAATTTTAGTTTAAGAACAGACAAAACCTTATTTCAATTGAATTCGTAGAAAAAATTACTGTGTTAGAGATAAATAAAGGTATCTTACTATTAAAATAATTATTTAATCCCTTCATTCGTCGCTGTAGCGTTTCTAAACGCATCAGGGCCATCATTCCTGTCATTGGAAAAGAAAAGGTAGGTAAATAAATTTTGTTTAAAGCTTTTATGGAACTTACCTGCGCTCTGAAGCACTTCATCATCAGAGTTTGCTAAATCATTAGCAGCTTGTTGAAATCTTGAGTTCTACAATTTTTGCAAAATAAACATAACCTTAAACCCAAATAAACATTAAAAAAATACTTACGAAGAGCGACATCTTGTAAACACACAAAATGGAGTCAATCTCTAGCCATAGAACAACCACACTCACTTGTAGAACTTTTTATGTCAGCAATGTTATCACTATAAAAATATTTTTCCTTGATTAAGGTACGAGGGAGGGGGTTTCGTCGTAAATGTGACGCTATGATGTGACGTGGGTAAAACACAATATTGCATAATATGACGTCACATCAGTGTTACCACAAAGCAAAATACAATTGCACTATTCTAAAATATAAAATGGTTACTTGCAGAACTTTCTACATCTGTAACTAGTTATAACGCTATCATCACAAAAATATTTTTCCTTGATTAAGATACGGAGAGGGGGATTCGTGGTAAATGTGACGTGATCAAAATAAAACATTACACATGACGTCAGTTCAGTGTTACCACTAAGACAAATACAATTGCACTGCTATAGGTTATAAATCAGATACAAATTAAAAAAAAATAGTCATGTACCAACGAAAAGTTTATTGCACGTGTGCAGACTGTAAACCTACATTAGTAGGAGTGTTCTTTATTTTTTGCTGAAAATTAACAGCCTTGTAATCACTCGAAGGAATGTTAACAACAAATTGATAAATTGAAAGTACTGTAACAAACTTATTCACAATATGTTCATTTGCTATAAAATATTCTTAAGAACTGTACAGTTTCTGGGGACGGATTTTTTAGTGCTTCAAACCTCATTTGTGCTTCTCTTAACAAAATTCGAAACTTCCTTTTGTATTCTTCCAATTCGCCGTTCTTTTTTGCTTCATAATATCTGAATCTTTCTTCTTCCATACTGTAGTCTTCGAAACCGGGAAGTGAAGCTAATCTAAACCCTGGGCTGTATGATGATAGAGGCCATACGCCACCTTTTTCCGCCATAAGCATGTCGTCTCGTGCTATAGAACAGATATCTTGTGTGTGGTTATTCTTTACACTTGTGAGTGCACGTTCTAGTTCTATTGCAATAGAAGTGTCGAACAAGAATTTCACACCTGTTTTACAACGTAGATTTAGGGTTTCGAGGCGTATCAGCGCCAATGTACCTAAGATGTAATTAATAAATAATATTTAAGCTTTAATGGCTTACCAGCAGCTTGAAGAACTTCATCATCTGAGTCCGCTAAAGTTGTAGCTGCTTTTTCTGCAACTGCGGGCTAAAAAATATGTACTTACATTTTATTAAAATGTTCTGATTTCAGTCTCAAACCATCAGTTTTTGTCTTGCTAATATCTGTTAAGAAAATGTAAAAAATACTTACAAAAAGCACCATTTTTGCGCACTAAAAGCTTGGGAAATATGGTTAACAGGCATACACACATGAACCCGAATATTTATAAACTGAATCACTGTTTGAATTTGGGTATTCAGATTCAGCTGAGCGTGTTTACTTATCCAAAATGCCAAGGTGATTCCAACACAACTTCGTAAACGTCAAGTTTTAAAGTGTCCGACACAGAAGTCACAGAACAGTGTCCGATATGAAAGTTATTGAAAGTAGATAACCAGCAATACTTTTTCGAGACAACCAATCATTCACCAATATTTTATTATGTGAAGATTTTTGTGGTTTTCTATTCCTCCGCATATAATAAAACAACAAATACTAAACGTGCTTACGGTTCTTTATTTTAGCAAAATATTCTATGACGTTATCAAAATTTACTTTCCTCTCTTTATCAATTGATAAAATGGAAACATTGTTTAGTCGCGCTTAGCTCATTGTGAACCTTAAGCATGATTTCATCAATTTTAATTTTGAAAAGCTTCTTTCACATGAAGCCACCGAATTGGTTAAAAAATCTTAGACAAAGCTTCAATGTAGTACACTGAACCGCTTCCTGGGAAGAAATGCTGGCGGCTTCCAAGTGGCGCCTCAGTCGTAAAATTTCTAAAATTATGTCGTCTGCAGAAAATTTTTAGATTTTTGTCAGATTTGTTGTCAATACTTTCGCTGCATTTAAAGGGGTTGTAGAAGAAAAGTGGAGGATTTAAGTTGACTACTACAAAATTTACCATTTTAGACATGTTTTAAGTATATTGTTGTCGAAATAAGTCCACACATATTAAGAAAAAAACGCAAATGTAGCCCCGCCCACCCACCCTATCTCAATTGTGATGATTTTTTTTATTCATCGTGAACCAAGGGGACGGAGCTTAATTGCAAAATCCTTATTTCTCTACCAGAAATTAAAAACATATTTTTGAGTATCGTGTTGTTCAAAGAATACTATATATATTAAGAAAAAAATAAAGCCAAAAATTAGGTCTTCACCCAGACCCGCATTGTGATGAATTTTTCATTCGTTGTCAGATCAAGGGGCGGGGCTTAATTACCATTTTAAACATTTTTAAGTTTCTTGTTCTGAAAAGAAAACCACGTATTTAAAAAAATACACAAAAATAAGCCCCGCCCACCCGCCCTATCTCAGTTGTGATATATATTTTTTAATCGTCGAGAGCCAAAGGAGTGAATTTAATTGCAAAATCCTTATTACTTCTCTACAAGAAATTACCATGCAAGACATGTTTTTGAGTATCGTGTTATTCTAAGAATACAGTATAACCTCTATAATTTGAACCCACGATTATCCGAACATCCAGTAATCCGAACAGAGGCTAGTTTGAAGTTGAAGCCTCTTTAATCCGAACAACAACTCTGCAATCCGAACTGGCCTTGCAAACATGCACCGACATGCAAAAATCACGGAATATCTTATCAATGCATTTAGTTAAATTTCGAAAATCGTTGGAAATGGGTCGAAATTTGCATAAGAAGGATACACAGTGAAAAATTTCAGTTTTGAAAAAGTCGTCTAAAAATTCGAAAAAAATCAAGGGTATAGATCCCGACGTGCTGATATAAAAAATATAGCGTGTTTAGGGCCACGGAGCAATATTTTCGAAAAATTCGGTGTGACATTTGAATTTTTTGAAATTTTTAAAAATTCCAAAATTTCAGTAAGTGATTCTGGAATAGTGGTTGGAGTTATCCAAGAAATGAGGCCGAAAGTGATTTCTGTGGCCCGAAATATACAAGAAAATATATTTAGTTAAATTTCGAAAAATTTCAAGTCGTCAAAAAATTCTCACAAAATTCAGGGTTATAGATCTTGACGTGCTGAAAATATAGCGTGTTTATTGTCACGGAGTAATATTTTTTGGAATATACATATTGATTCTCCATTGTTACTTAAGGGAACTTCATTTTTGTTTAATAAAATTAAAGTTTATTTCTTGAAGTTTGTTTTTATCAATGTATGAAGTTATTATTCATCCCCCTTTCATATTTTTGGGAAAATCGCTTATCCGAACAAATCACTAATCCGAACACACCTTTTCCCTAATTAATTCGGATTATCTAGGTTATACTGTACTCTGTATATTAAGAAAACATTAAAGCCAAAGATTAAGCCCCACCTATACCTGCCCTTATCTAAATAGTAATGAAGTTTTCATTCGTTGGCAGACCTAGGTGAGGAGCCTAATTGCAAAATCCATATTTCCATACAAAAATTTACCATTTTAAACGTGTTTTAAGTTTCTAAGAATAAAAAAAATCATCACAGTTGAGATGGGGAGGGTGGGCAGTGTTTATATTTTGCCGATTTTCTTAATATACATTGTATTATTTGAACAACACGATACTCAAAAACATGTGTTTAATTTCTTGTAAAGAAATAAGTATTTTGCAGTTGGTTAGTTAAGCTCCGTCCCCTTGGTTCACGGTGAATAAAAAAAAATCGTCACAATTGAGATTGGGCGGGTGGGCGGGCTTACATTTTGCATTTTTTTTATGTGTAGACTTCTTTTCACATCATGAAACTTAAAATATGTTTAAAATGGAAAATTTGTATAAGGAAATATCGATTTTGCAATACGCTTCGCCCCATAATTCCAAAAACCATTTTAACCATGTTTTAAGTTTCTGGTTATGAAAAGATGGCTATGTATATTAAGAAAATAAAGACAAAATATAAACCCCCTCCCACCCGCCCTATCTCAATTATCATGATTTTTTTTATTCGTGGTAAGCCGAGGGGCGGAGCTTATATATAAAATCCTTATTTTTCTACGAGAAATTACCATGTGAAATATGTTCTTAAGTATTCGCGTTACACAAAGAAAATTAAATGTATTAATTATTAAAAAAGACCCCCAAATAAGAATTTCCACCCCTCCGTCTCGATCTCAACCGTGATGAATTTTTCATTCGTTGTCAGAAGACCGAGGGGCGGAGCGTAATTGCTAAATCGATATTTCCCTATATAAATTTACCAATTTAAACATATTTTAGGTTTCCTGTTGTGAAAAAATTATTACACAAACACATATTAAGAAAAAAAAAGGCAATATGTAAGCCTCGCCCACCCGCCCCATCTTAATTGTGATGATTTTAATTTATTCGTCGTGAGTCAAGGGGAGGCGCTTAATTCCAAATCCTTGTTTCTCTACAAGAAATAAATAGTAGATTGTTTTATTAGGATTAAAAGTGCCATTTTTTGCGACGAGCAAATTTTGCATTTGCGAGGCGGAGCGAAGCGAAGCCGAGCGGATGCAAAATTGCGAGTCAAAAACTGACTTTTAATCCGAATGAAACATACTACTTTTTCGCCAGCCAAAAAGTAAATCTCAAAAATACAAAATATTGATAACAATAATATCGAGCAGAAATGAATCAATCTGCAAAGTAGTCTGGTATCCACGTCGTCAAGGCTTTTTTTGTTTGCTTACATACCATTGTTTTGTGAAAACGTTTGCAGTGTTAATAATGAATCCTGAAGAAGAGTTACCTCCCGATGTGCTAGAAGAAGCACAAAACGTGGTACTGAACTTGTTACCAACAAAATCGCGCGAAGTGTATGAGTGCGCGTATACCCGCTTCATCAAATGGTGCGAAGGGAAAAAGATTCAAACTTATTCTGAGAACGTCCTATTGGTATATTTTTCCGAATTGGCTACAAAAATGAAGTCATCCACACTGTGGTCGCAGTATTCCATGGTGAAAGCAACTTTAAATATAAAAAATGGCATAGAAATCGGAAAGTATTCAAAATTAAAAGCGTTTATAAAGAAACAAGGAGAAGGATACGTTCCAAAGAAATCAAGGGTTTTAACTAATGAACAAATAGAAGTTTTCTTAGACACGGCTCCGGATTTCAAATTCCTGATGATGAAAGTATGTTTATAACCTAATGAAGAGCTTATATTTATTTTACGAATTTTTTTCAGATTGTTGTAATCTTTGGCGTTAGCGGAGCTTGTCGGTGTCACGAACTATTACAAATAAAAACTGAAGATATTGAAAATATTAAAGCAGGTTTATTGGTAAAAATTCCTGATACCAAAACGAAAAAACCCAGATCATTTACGGTTATGGGGGAAAAGTATTTGAAATTTTACGAAAAGTATGTTGCGCTTCGTCCAAAAATGTTTAATGAAGGTCGGTTTTTTATTAAATATGTCGACGGAATGTGCCATCGACAAGTAGTTGGCATTCATAAAATTAGTGGTGTACCCCAAGAAGTAGCCAAATATTTAAAGCTAGAAAACTTTAAAGAATACAGCGGACATTGCCTACGTCGGACTTCTGCCACGCTTTTTGTGGATTCTGGCGGTGATATTACGTCCCTCAAGAGGCACGGTGGGTGGAAATCTGACAGTGTAGCCGAAGGTTACATAGAAGAGTCTCTTAAACACAAAAAAGATGTAGCAAAAAAAATTTTTCGTTTGGAAGAACCAGGTACAAGTAGTGAAACCACAAGTAAAATACATGAAGACGCAACGAATAGGAATGTGAGCGAAGTAAACCTAGAAGAATCAGGTACAAGTAGTGGAACTACGAATAGAATGATCACACGTGAAGACGGAATAAGTAGGAATGTGGGAGCAGTAAACCTGAATTTTGACACTGTGACCAACCAGACAGCAGGAGCGGTAGAAGTGTTAGCGCAAAATATTATTACTGACCGCATGAAAAATGATAATAGTGACGGAAAATCTTTAATCCAAATCAATCGCAGTTGTTCTTATTGTACATTCAATATTAATTTTAAAATTTAAATAATTAATAACAATGTAAGTTAATAATAAAATTGGAAAATATTAATAGCATTTCATTCTCAAAATAAAACAATTGAAAACTTTTTAAGGCTAGGATTAAAAAAAAAAATTAATGCTAGGATTAAAAAGGCAAAAATGACGTTGTTACTTTAGTAACGCAACTTTTTTTTACTCTCACAAAAACGTCAAGTTTTCCGTCCAAAATTGACGTTAAAAGTGACATCTTTTAAGACGGCTGGCGAAAAAAACATGTTTTTGAGTATCGTGTTGTTCAAAGAATACTATGTATATTAAGAAAAAAACAAGCCAAAAATTAATCCCTACCCATTTTCATCCCAAGCTCAATTGTGGCGAATTTTTCATTCGTTGTCAGACCGGGGGGTGCAGCCTAATTGCAAAATTGATACTTTCCTACAAAAATTTACCATTTTAAACATGTTTTACCTTTCTTGTTGTGAAAAGAAGACTAGACATATTAAGAAAAAGGGGCAAAATGTAAACCCCTTGTAGTAATAATCTAATAATACCTAATCTGTGTTTGAGACGAATAGCCATAAATCTTGTTGATTTAAACGCCGAGAATTATCTTCAACAATGCATAAGTACCGACAGAAAGCTATAGTGTAGAAAATGAAGGTTAATATTAGTGGACCTCATGATCTCTATCAAAATTTGATTTTCGTGGAATTAGTGCTGTCAATCAGAAAAGTGCCCCCCCCACTCCAGGGGATTTTCCTTCAGGTTGGCAACACTGCACACAACCGCAATTTGATTGGTTGAAAACCCAACGTCAATGTCAACGGCAACGTAACGGATGATATAAACGACGCATACCTCCGTTGCGTATTTATCTTACAACCACAAAGTCAACGGCAAACAGCAACGTCAGCGACAAATTTATAAATCGACCTTTATGTTGAACAACACTAATAAATCAAGACATTATTTTTACTTTCCAAGCGTAAGCGAAAGAAGTATTGTAATCAAGTCCGTCGGCCGACTCTCTACCTTTACATTTTCTCGACCTTTCATGACCCGTAGGATATGAAAGAAATAGATCTCCCGTTTCTGTCTGTCCGCCTGTCTGTCTGCCGTCTCGTTTTTTTTTGTATGTTTTTGCAGAATGATTCTTCTGTAAGTAAGTATTCTCTAGCTGTGCGAGTGAGTTGTCGTTGTCATCCCTTGGTGCGACCACTGCACTTGTTTTTGAACAAACTGCTCGTGTTTTCATCCGACATCTAACAAAAAAAAAAATCCAACCCGAGTTTTAGGTAAGAGGTTCGAGTTCTCTTTCTATATCAATCAATTCATGTTGGGTTTTCGTAAAGTGAAGTTCAAAAGTGTAAAAGTGTTTTAAATATTGTTTATCATCTAGTATCTTGTGCCATTTTCAAAAATGCTCTTTCGAATGGATTTTTGTATTTTTTGAACACCCAGTTCGTGGTAATCTAGAATTAAATACTAATTTTGGAATTATTTTAATAAATCATTCTAATGAAGGTTTATTTTCAAATTTTATCGACGTTTCACAGCCAGTATGGAGAACACGAAACTGTCGGCTTATTGACTCCATCAGTCTGTCGTTTGTTTGTCTGTCTGTCTAGCTTTTTGAAACTACTGGCCTGACTTGTGATAACCCAAACATCCCGCCTTAAATTGACATGTGAAAAAAAATTGAAAGCCCGCGAAAAATAAAAAAAAATTGGCCTTGGCTGTGATCGTCTGACAAAATGGAACTTACGTTGTGTGTGTGTTTTTTTTTCGTGGTGGACCCCAAAATTGGAAAAGTACCACTAAATAAAACACAAAATATATGGAGGACATAAAATAATTTATTCCTCCATTGACAAAAAGTGCCGGTTGAAGACACCTCTTAATGCTCAGCTACAAAAAAAAACTTGCTTAACTTGAAATGAAATCAAATCAAACGTTCTGAATCAATGTAAACATTTGAATATGACAAATTTAATAAAAACAAAGAAAAATCTGAATTAAAGTAACTGGATGCAAATACACAAGTTATTACGGAAGTGTGGCGGCAAATTTAAAATTATGGCAGTCAACAAGGGAACAAAACTTTAATATAAAACTCTAGGCAGCGGCAGCGGCACCACAGCGCTATAAAAGTGCGGCGATCGAACTATATCAATTTCATTCTAGAACACAGCAAAATTACCCATAGGGAGCCTTGTAACACGAGCGGAGTTTGGGGCTCCTGGTCGTGGCTGTTCTCCTATGTGCTCGGTCTGAGAATACTCAATATGCCTGAACAAAGAATTTACCTGATGTTGAATTATGCCACACTTTATCAACGATTCAAACAAAGAATTTACATTATGTAAACGATGCTTTGATCCAAGTGACTGGTTATTTAAAACAATTAGCTTTGGGTGTCTCCAGCTTAACCCAAATAAAATACATGATAAATAAACACAAAATGCATCAGGCGTTGCGAGAAAAGCTTCTCGGTGATGTAATTTTCCACGTTTCGAGAAAATGTCTCGGTGATGTAATTTTCCACGTTGCGAGAAAATGTTTCGGTGATGATGATGATGATAATATGATGATAACTGCCCAAGGAGAGAAATTTTAAATTTCCCCGTAGCTCAGTCCACGATATTATGAAGTTTAACGCACTTTCCACGGTCTTTTTCCCAGAGTAGGAAAATAATAATAGTAATATAACTACCGTAAATAAACTAGTAATCTTGTGCGAGGAATTAAGAAGTGTTATAATGTAACACTTAAGTATAAGCATCCAGAAACCTTATTCATAATTTGGTAAACAAAGGATGAATCCTGACTAAGTGAATTTCATGAAATCTCCTAGCAAGTGCTGTTATCTGAACGATCTCTGAGGGTTAAACTTGTGTTAGAATCAGTTAACGATTAACATCCTAATATGGACTGTGAATTTACAAACACTAAAACAAATTTACACCACGTGTTAGCGTCGGTCGAAAATTCACACGAAACTGGGGCGTCTTCGTCGTTACGATTAATTTTCGTTATCTTTCTTATTAACTACCAAACCAACTAAACTTAACCTAGCTTACTCACCACGTGGTTTCACACACAAACACACAAACAAACCAAAAGTGACGCCTCTCGCCCCTCTAGCCACCAAATCAACTTCTACCAACTCTCTCTAACAGAAAATTCCTTAGGAGAGCTACCGATTACCCAAAAAGAACTAAACGTGTACATGGTTGCTTATGTTTAACAATTTTCTTGATTCCAATTTTTTTTCAAATTCAAATTATTCAAATACGATTTCGCGCCGCTGTTAATTTTTTTTCAGGGTGAAATTTTTATTCAAATTCGGTCACCACAACCTTAATCAAAATTTGTCTATTTGTTGCTATTAAAAATGTTTCAAAATGTTGGTAAGTAGTAGTATAGAGGACAGAAGGGGGATTAAAGGCGATGTGCAGTTGTGCAGTTGGAAATTTTCCTTAATTTAGGCACTGTTACAAAATGATGTCTTTCGAAATTAACGAATGAAGCAAGTTATTTTATTGATTCAATCAAAAAGAGTTTATTTAATTTTCTAAAAGTTTTAACAAAGCAGTGCGTGCTTCTTACTTGCTGTTAGTGTTACACTGTAAAGTTTCAGAAGTCATATACTCGTCCCAAAAAAAAAAAAAAATAATGATATATTTGCCATTAAAATCACGTTTGCAGAATTACACTCTTCAGTTTATCTAACATTAATGTTGAATTAATTGGGTTCAGAAGCAAGGGAAGTTCGATTTAAATAACTTCAGGTCAATTTCATCATTATTTTAAGGCGGAGTATTTTTTAAACCATTTAAAATGTTTGCAGTGAGAGTTGAACTAAATTACAATTTTTTAGAGAATATTTTTATTTATTTATAATATACAGGGTGTCCCAGAATTCGCGCCATTCCCGTGAATGACATGTTCCCTGTCCCGAACTGTGCCGTAATTCGCAAAAAGAATTGTCCAGGCTTTAACCGTGTGAGAACTGGAAGGCGATTAAGTTGACCAATAGAGAGGCTGCTTTTATATCCGAACGTTTCTATGTTCAAAGTTACCTATGCCAAGAACAAAAAATCGGGTAATACTAAAGTTGAATGAATTTTTTTCGAATCCCCCTCCGTCAACAAAAGGAAACAGAAGTGTGGTTATAAATTTAATCATTTTGACAATTGTTTGTCATAAACTGTCACGAAGTTCATCACTGACCTGAACAGACGCTTCTGCCCCCAAAGATGACTGATTAATGTACACAGAGACGTCAAGGTTTACTTTAAGGCAAGTAGCATGGCACAGAAGTTATTTCTGCTGCCATTCTAGTTAAATTGTGTTTAACTGGGCTGTACATGTCATAAGAGAAGCTGTTTCATTTCATCGTAGGCAAATAATACATTTATTACTATTCTACATAGAGTAGCTACCGAAGAGCAGGTATTAGAAGTGATTTTCTTAGAGCCCCGTGAATAATGTGTTGTTCTTTTTAACGAAAATTAGTACATTTTCAGAATGCATCATATGCCTGATATTAAGTTTATCGTTATTTCTAAAAAAGAGTACCACATGTCCATTCAAAGAACGTTATTAAGTGTATTTAAACATAAATATCGCTTTTGATTAATCAGTGATTATGATTTTCAATAAACAGTATCAATTTTTACTGAACAGCTTTGTTGCTGATACCTAATCTAAGCAACGAAAAAATAGACGAGACTCCACTTCTCTGGTGTATTAAGATCATAGGTATCTGCTGTGGTGTCAATCATGTGGGGGAGATACTGAAAACTGAGACTTATTCAAGAATAATATTGATGTTGCACATGATGATTTAAGACAGTTTCTTTAAAGTTGTGAGTACATACTTTCTAGAGATTGAAAAGATACGAATAAAAATTATAACAATAGTTGCAATTTTTTTTAAGAACAATACAAACAATTTATGGAGAATGTACACGCTATGCAGCCACTGCTGTGCGCGAATATACAGGTCTTTTCCCCAATCATCGGCTCCTTGACCAGCATGTGTTTCGTCGTTTGTTGCATCCAGCAAAAGAAGATGGATCTTTTCAGCCTATGCGGAAAGCCGTGCTGGGGCTCCACGGATTATACGCATAGACGGTGAAGAACAAGTGGCACAAATGATTGGATGCTCAAGATCGATCATGCATCGTATCCTTACAGAGAAAAATCTGCATCCTTACTATTGACGAAAGTGCAGCATCTGCGACGAGCCGACTGCGCGACGAGTGCATGTTGCTATATGGTTACTGCGACAAAATGAACTAAATCCTGATTTTTCACGGCACATTCTTTTCGCCGACGAATGTTCATTTTCCCGAAAAGGAATATTTAATGCGCACAATTCACTTCTGGGCAAACGAAAATCCACATTTCGCTAACGTGAGAGCATATCAAGAGCAATACTATTAATCTATGGGCTGGAATCGTTGTACTGTAACGTTATTAAACAATGTGCTCAAAATGACCACCATTAACTTCAATGCAAGTTCTAGCTCGTTGAATTATGTTGTGTTGTGTATTATGTAACATCTCAGGAGTAACTGTAGCGTAGGCTTCGTGCAGTCTCTCTTCCAGTTCTTCTAACATATCTAGGGGTTCTCTATATACGTAATTTTTAATTTGATTCCAAAAAAAAGTCCAAAGCAGAAAGGTCTAGAGATCTAGGAGGCCAGATATTAGTACTGCCACGCCCAATCCACCTATGACGATACTCTTTTCAATGTTCGTCGTACAAGTATCGAATTATGTGGAGGAGCGCCGTCGTGCTGAAACCACATATTCCGCCGTACATTCAAAGGAACGTCTTCCAACAATGCCGGAAGCTCTAGTCGTAGAAAATTAGCATATGCATCCCCATTAAGGCGATCAGGTAATCTGATAATTTTATCAGATGCATTAAAATTTTTACCACAGTAGTACCAATGATTCCAGCCCATAGATTAATAGTAAATCGCTCCTGATATGCTCTCACCCTAGTGAGATGTGGATTTTCGTGTGCCCAGAAATGCCAATTGTGTGCATTAAACATTCCTTCTCGGGAAAATGAACATTCGTCGGTGAAAAGAATGCGCCGTGTAAAATCAGGATTTAGTTCATTTTGTCGCAGTAACCATTGAGCAAAATGTACTCGTCGCGGGTAGTCGGTTGGTCGCAGATGCTGCACTCTCGTGTAATGGTAAGGATGCAGTCTTCTCTCTTGAAGGATACGATGAGTGGTCGATCTTGAACATCCACTAATTTGCGCTACGTAGAGGACACTTCTCCTAGGATCCGCTTCCATGTTTCCTAACACTTGCTCTTCAGCACCTACACGTACATTCCGTGGAGCCCCAGCACGGCCTTTCCGACTAGGTTGAAAAGATCTTCTCTTGCTCGATGTAACAATCGGTGAAACACATGTTGGTCTGGGTGCCGACGATTATTCACGGGGCTCTAAGAAAATGACTTCTAATACCTGCTCTTCGGTAGCTACTCTATGTAGAATAGTAATAAATGTATTATTTGCCTACGATGAAATGAAACAGCTTCTCTTATGACATGTACAGCCCAGTTAAACACAATTTAACTAGAATGGCAGCAGAAATAACTTCTGTGCCATGCTACTTGCCTTAAAGTAAACCTTGACGTCTCTGTGTACATTAATCAGTCATCTTTGGGGGCAGAAGCGTCTGTTCAGGTCAGTGATGAACTTCGTGACAGTTTATGACAAACAATTGTCAAAATGATTAAATTTATAACCACACTTCTGTTTCCTTTTGTTGACGGAGGGGGATTCGAAAAAAATTCATTCAACTTTAGTATTACCCGATTTTTTGTTCTTGGCATAGGTAACTTTGAACATAGAAACGTTCGGATATACAAGCAGCCTCTCTATTGGTCAACTTAATCGCCTTCCAGTTCTCACACGGTTAAAGCCTGGACAATTCTTTTTGCGAATTACGGCACAGTTCGGGACAGGGAACATGTCATTCACGGGAATGGCGCGAATTCTGGGACACCCTGTATAGGTATAATAATAAATAATAATAATAACAGCAGTTAATAGTAGTACTTTATTATTTTACCAAAGATTTTATAAGATTAAATAAAATAAAAAACAAAATTAAAAATTGAACAACAAAACACAACGCCAAGGTACATCAGGAATTTAAAAAATTTCAGCTCTAGTTAGGACAATTTTTTGTTTTTAGATTAAGCAATTTGTGCAATTTCCTTACGCTCAGAAAAATTAAACTTGACAACTGGAGATTCTAAAAGAATAAAGATAGTAAGGTAATGTGTAACAAATGTAATTTTCAAATAAGTGAACATTTTGCACTACATTTAGTTTAAAAATTTTGTAAATTTCTAAATTTTAACTACTCTCAATTTCAGACACAGTTTGATTTTTTTACAACACGAAACCTTCCTATGTTTATGTATTCGTTGAATAAGTTCTTGAAACACATACATTCATACTTGATTACAATAATTAACCACGCGTGCAAATGAACTCATGTCAGGCTACCTAACACCGTTACGCTCCTTATTTACATTAGTTTTCAATGCCACAAACACTTTACACTTTCCCACCGTCATCGAAAGATGAAGAAATGAAATTCCAACGGAACAATAGCTAAAGCAGTGAAAGTCGCCGATAATTTCACTTTAGTGTGCATTATAATCAGTTCCGAATTTTGCATGAACGATTCAAAATTCACAAATGACACTCACAGTGGGCGAAATAATAACGGCTTTAAGAAGCCGTCTTGAGATATCCCGAGGAATAAAATTACCACCGCTATACAAACAGGTATTAATAGAGAAAGTAAGTTTTGTATCAGTGTTGTAATTTAAAAATGTCAAGATTTTAGTGGCCTCTGGTCCTTTAATATCGACCATCAGCCTCGGGATGACGTCGGGCTTTTCCGCCATTCTTTTGCCACAACTGGAAAATGAGACTTCAATAGAGATAAATCGGAGCGATGCTTCTTGGATCGGTAAGTTACCTCTTTTATTTTTATTAAAACATTTCTTTCTATTATTTCTTCAAATGTTAGACATACAGTACGAATTACAAATCTGAACAAGGTTTTTTTTTTTATTTCAGTTTGCGTATTCAAAAATTATTAATTCTACATCTTGATGAAATATTTATAAAATTAGTGTTATTTGTTTGTTTTTAGCATCTATGGCAGCTCTTCCCATGGCCTTTGGTTGTCTTTTGGGAGGACTTCTTATGGAAAAATTTGGTCGAAAAGCAACCCAACTCCTAACAAACATACCTTGTTTGATAGGGTGGGTGTTAATCGCTCTGTCTTCAAACTTACCAATGGTACTAACCGGTAGATTCCTCACAGGACTGTGTGGAGGGCTTCTAGGACCATCCACGGGAGTCTACATAAGTGAAACCGCAGAACCCAGATATAGAGACTTTCTCCTAGGAGCAATCTCCCTCTTTCTAGCCGTAGGATTATTCTTAGTCCATCTATTAGGAACATTCTTACACTGGAAAACAACAGCTATCATCTGCAGCTTTTTCCCCATCGTCAGCTTCTTCCTGCTGATTCTGGTGCCAGAATCGCCATCTTGGCTAGCCAAAAACAAAAGAATATCAGATGCAGAAAAGGCGTTCTTTTGGTGTCGCGGTGACACAGAAGCATCAAAAAAAGAAGTCGCCGTACTAACCCAAAGACAAAACATGAAGAACGAGGAACCACAATTAGCCCAACTTGTCAAAAAAGAATTCCTCAAACCACTTATAATAATCACAGTTTTCATAGTTACCAACCAATGGGCAGGTGTTAATGCTCTAACTTTCTACACAGTGACCATAATGCAGAAAACCCTAACCAATGGCTTGGACACCTACTTAGCTATGCTCATAGTCGACTTGATTCGCCTCCTGATGTCAGTTCTGGCCTGTATCATCATGAAACATGTACGAAGACGTCCACTGGCCATCATCAGTGGAGTGGGAACCTTCACTTCTTTGTTCCTTTTGAGTGGATACACCAATTTCGTCAAACTTCATCCAGATTTAGGCACGTTTTGGTACACGATAATTCCAATGGTCTCCTTGGTGGCTTATATTAGTTTCATTACGGTGGGTTTCGTACCTTTACCCTGGGCGATGATGGGTGAAGTGTTTCCTTTAAACACTCGCAATGTGGGTTCTAGTATTTCGTCGTTTATGGCTTTTGCGGCGTTTTTTGCGGTTGTTAAGACCAACCCAGCAATGTTTGATGTGTTGGGAGTTGATGGAACATTCCTGGTTTATGGATTGGTGGCGTTTTGGGGAACGGTGTTTGTTTGGGTGTTTTTACCAGAGACTAAGGGAAAAGCATTACACGAAATAGAGGATCAGATGGCTGGTAGATAAAATTTGTTGTTTTAAAATAAAATGTTATTGTTGATATTGATTTAGTTAGTTATGTTAGCATTAAGTTGAAAATTTAATAAATGATGCTTTATTTTCTGTGACACCTATTACAAGAGTATACTAATAATCTACTGTAATGGATTTGAATTGAAATCTGTTTTATCTTCATAGAGTGAACCAATAAGAACTAATTCTCCAATAATTAAATAAAATTTGTTCTAAAAGGGATAATCTGGATGTTTTTCGATTCTGTAACAAACATACACAGTTTTAACGATTACCAATAAATGAAAAACGTTTACCCTTTCATGAAATTTCTAAAGGTGCTAGTTCTTGCTTCTTCGCCAACTTCTAGAGTTCGCAATATGTTTAAATCATCCTCATCCAACACAAAATCGAAAACGTTAAAATTTTCTCTCATTCGTTGCGGATTCCTACTCTTTGGAATAGGAACAACACCATTTTGAACCAAAAACCTCAGTATAATTTGAGCCACACTTTTCGAGTGTTTTTTAGCAATACACTGTATAACCTCATTTCCTAACATATCCGGAAGTTGTTGATCTCTGGAATATCAGGAAACGCAAATTAAATAACAAATGTCACTGCAGTGATAATCTACTTGTAGTCTGATACGTAAGTTCTCATCCTTGAATTATAGTCTGGTGCTCCCAAGGGTGAAAATCCAACAACTGTAATTTCATTTTTGTGACAAAACTCCACGAGGTCGGGCTGTTGTAAATAGGGGTGAATTTCCACTTGCAGACATGCAGGTTTAATTCTAGCTGATTTTATCACTATTGAAATTTGGGGGATAGTATAATTTGACAATCCTATGTATCTAACGCGGCCCAAATCTACTTGTTCCTCCATTTTCTACAACAAACAACAATCAGTTTTATAATAGTTTATACAAAATTTTATGTGATCTCTTCTAATACTTGTAATCAAACGTTTACAACACTCGACGAATCGAAACTTTCGGTGACCTTTTATATTGCAACGTTGATAATTGTATTTTGGAACTCACCTTCCATATTGCTGAATGATCAGTAGGTCCCTCCATAACTACATCGCCGTTTTCGTTGCGTTCAAACACGGTACTTTCGTGGAATTTACAACCTAGTGGAAAATGAACTAAGTATAAGTCAATACACTCAACCTGCAGGTTGGACAGCGATTGTTTGATACAGTAGTCGACTCTGGTGGGATGTACACCAAAAATTGGAAGTTTGGTGGTGATGAAAATTTCTTCCCTTTTTAGTTTTCCGGATTTGAACCATTTCTGGAGAGTATTCCCTATTATTTTTTCATTACGGTAAACGAGTGCAGTGTCTATGTGTCTATATCCGGTTTCGATTGCTGAATCTATGATTTTTTCCAGTTCTCCATCTTTTTCTGTTGGCTAATGTTTGCTATAAGAACATATAAACGCTTTTTTTGGTACTCACAACACCCGTATTAGTTCCAAATCCTATAGATGGGAGTTTTGAACCGTTCAACAGGAACATTTTAAAACAGTTCGAATGAGAATAAATTATAATGTAATGTCTATTCACTTACTGTGTTTTCTTATCATCACATGATGTGGTAATTGTTATCTTATTTTAGCTTGACACTAAGATAAACCTAGTACACTAGTATTTATGTTAATTATTAATTACTGTAGTAGATTATTGCCAACAAACACGTTCTTCTTTCAGGTTTATACAAAGAATTCCAATAAACTTTATTAAACAGCAACAGTTCTGAACCTTAATGTACTAATATTATTGACTGAATAAATTACTAGGTTACAACCATCACCAGAATACCACATCAAAACAATGGTCGAACTAGTGTGGTATTTATAATATAATAATACAGAGTGGAATTAGTATTACGAACACTTTTCAAACAGCGGTATTTACAATAAAGCTAACTGACACACAGTGGTTAAAACATGGTATTAAGAAACATTTTCTTCTAAAAGGGGTAATCTGGGTGATTTTCAATTCTACAACGAATATAATTTCAGTTTTAAATACTGCCAATAAAACAAAAACTTTTACTTTCTTATTAAACCTTTAAAGTTGCTAATTCTTGCGTCTTCTCCAACTTCTAGATCCTGCAATGCTGCTGTATCATGTTCATCCAACATAAAATCAAAAATGTTAAAATTTTCTTTAATTCTTTGCGAATTCCTACTTTTTGGAATAGGAACCACGCCACTTTGAATCAAAAATCTCAGTATGACTTGAGCCACACTCTTCGAGTGTTTTTTTGCAATACTCTGTATAACCTGATTTCCTAGCAAATTCGGAAGTTGTTGGTCTCTGTAAAACCAGGAAAGACGATTAATGAACAAACGCGGTAGTTGTAATGTACTGGTATTCCGGTAAGTATGTTTTCATTCTTAAATTGTAGTCTGCTGCTCCCAAAGGTGAAAATCCAACAACCGTAATTTCATTTTTGTGACAAAACTCCACAAGATCGCGCTGTTGTAAATGAGGGTGAATTTCCACTTGTAAACATGCAGGTTTAATTATAGCTGATTTTATCAATGTTGAAATTTGGGAGATATTATAATTTGACAAACCTATGTATCTAATGTGGCCCAAATTGACGTGTTCTTCCATTTTCTATAGGTAACAAATTTTAATTATGGAGCGATAAAATAGGTATTCTAGCAAACACAGTGACAAACGTTACGAGTACAAATTTTTATTTGTCGAACGAAGGCTATGGAAGTATTGTAATAACAAGCATCCGGTGAATGGCTGCTTTAATGTTTTCTCAACGTTTTAATAGACCAATTGTTCAAAAGCTAACCAAAATTTGTTTGATTAAATTAATACAATAAATTTTATAGATTAACATACTCCTACACGTGTCGTTTTTAAATCCATCTTACTGTTTTACCTTAGATATTCAGATTTTTGAAAAAAGAAAAATGTGGGGTCATGGCCCACACTAAAGACATGTCGGCTCTTGAAGTTGTATTGAACACTAATTAAAAATGAAACCTTCGATTACAGATTTTATGCATTTTCATAACAAAAGAAAATTAAGTGATGGAGGTTCTAGTCTGGTTAGAGAGCTGTAAAATTAGTATGTTTTTATGTTTAAAAAATTAAATTACTGAAGTGCAACACATCACCTAAAAGGCAATGTTTAATTTTACTGTTTTTCTCATGGAGGTAGAATGACAGGAAGGAGCATGCCTCATTGAATCAATGTTAAAGAAACGGCGGTAAAAGATCAAGTCATTTATGACCCTTTCCGTACTACATCGGGACCGCTCGGTCCACAACGGAGGATCAGAAGCGATGCCGTTTGGTTTAAAATGGCAGGTAGTAAAAACGACTTACAATTTCCTTCATTTAGTTATAAAAATAACAATATTTACTGCAACATAAAAACCCTAGCAACTTATACTAATACCACTTTTACATTCCGTCTTTTTAAATTATGTTTGTTTTATGCTCCTGGGCCGGTTCTTGAACCGGCAAACGCTTTCGAGTACGCCACTGGAACAACTAGTTTCTCTGAGGAACTGGAAGAACCATTTTTGACCCTAGCCTGGCGCTTTTTCAAACTACGAGTGGATCAAGGCATAATTTAGCATCAAGTAAATTATTTGTTTCAATCGTTGATAAAGTGTGGTATCATTTAACATCATGTAAATTCTTCGTTTGAATCGTTGATAAAGTGTGGCATCATTTAACATTATGTGAATTCTTTGTTTGATTCTTTGATAAAGTGTGGCAAATATTAATTAATGTAATTTTCGTAACTGCAATTTTTCATCATTTAACTCATATCATAAAATATATTAAATTGGCAAAATTTATAATGTTTTATATTTCGGAAAAGCTCTCTAAATAACCTTAGACACACTATACGAGTTAAAAGTAAAAAAATTAAGAAAATCGTTAAACAGAGGCAACCATGTGCAAATTTAGTTCTTTACTGGTAGTTGGTAGCTCTAGTAAGGAATTTCTGGGTAGTATCTAGTGAGAGGGTTGGTAGAAGTTGGCTTGCTTGGTAGATGCGTCACTGTTTTTTTTTTGTGTGTGAGTTCAGGGGAAGCCTTTGTTTAATCAAAATTAATCCTAGCGACGACGACGCCACAGTGTGGTGTAAATTTGTTTTATTGTTCTTAAATTCACAGTTCATGTTAGGATTTGAATCGTTAACTGGTTCTAATACAATTTAACAGTCATAAGATTGTTCAGATAAAGCACTCGCTAGGAAATTTCATGAAATTCACTTAGTCAGGACTCATCCTTTATTTATCAAGTTGTGAATAAGGTTTCTGGATGCTTATACTTAAGTGTTACATTATAACACTTCTTAATTCGTTGTCTCACTCTGGGAAAAGGACCGTGGAAAGTGCGGTAATATCGAGGACTGAGGGTCGGGGGGATTAAATTTTTCCCCTTGGGCAGTTATTTATCATCATCACATTTCTCGCGACGAGGGAAATTACACCACCGAGACGTAATTCTCGCGACTAGGGAAGCATTTTGTGTTTATCTATCATGTGTTTGTTTGGGACAAGCTGGGGACAGTTCAAAGCTATTTTTTTCTGTAACCAGTTTCTTGGATCAAGGCATAACTTAGCATCAAGTAAATTATTTGTTTCAATCGTTGATAAAGTGTGGTATCATTTAACATCATGTAAATTCTTCGTTTGAATCGTTGATAAAGTGTGGCATCATTTAACATATGTAAATTCTTCGTTTGAATAGTTGATAAAGTGTAGCATAATTTAACAACATGTAAATTCTTTGTTTGAATCGTTGATAAAGTGTGGCAAATATTAATTAATGTAATTTTCGTAACTGCAATTTTTCACCTCATACAATTTTTCTTTATCTCGCAATTTTTAGCCTCAGTAATTTTCTTTGCTGTATAATTTAAATTGAACGTAAATTTTCATGCTCTGCAGTTTCTAACCACATGTAATATTTTTTATCTGCACAAATTTTATCTCACACCAGATCTTTTTTTGTTTTTATATATCTTTGCTAGTTTTTTTTCATGTATCATATAAATTGTCAATCATCATCTCAGGTAAGAATTCTTTGCTGTTTCAAATTTCATGAAAATGTATGGCGAATTTAAATGTTGTTTACTAACCTTTATGAAACTTTAACACTTACTCGGTTGTAGTTTAATATCAGAGCCATAGAAATTGAACGTTGGAGGTAAATAATACAGAAACACGTGGCGGAAGGGGAGTGCGCGGTTCCTTGTCGAGCTAGTGGTCGCACCATCTGCACAAAAGATGCAGATCTTGTATAAAAGTAAGGAGAGCGGTCGGAATGACGTGATGCTCGCGGCTTGTCCCAATAGCCGGGATTTCCAATCACGAGTAACGCGACCGTAACAGCCTGTTAGCGCGGCACGTTTCTTCGTTAGATAAAGGGGTGCTGGGAGGCATGTGCTCATCGATAGAGTAGAATCACCGTCGTGGTAAGAGAACAGCCACAACCAGGAGCCCCAAGCTCCGCTCGTGCTACAACGCCACCTGTGGGTAATTTTGCTGTGTTCTAGAATGAAACTGATATAGTTCGATCGCCACACTCTTATAGCGACCCGGGTGCCCCCTCAACTTTTGGAGGCATAAGCGTTCACGAGGAGGCGCCCTGGTGCCGCTGCCGCTGCATAGTTTTATTAAAATTTTGTTCTCTTGTTGACTACCATAATTTTAAATTTGCCATCACAAATCCGCAATAACTTGTGTATTTGCATCTAGTTGTTAAACCACAAGTGTAGACTCCTAATATTTTACGTATTTTAGGTAGAGTTTATCTAGCAAAATTTCAGTGAGATAACGTCATTAAGCTTTTGGAGGTGACAATTAGCGATTATTTAATTAGGTTTCAATTAGCGATTTACCATGCTTTCAGAGCATTCGGTTTTGTAGATTTTAAGTTAAATTGTAATATGTAAAACATAAAAAATCAAGGTGGATTAATAAACTACAAGCATAGGAGTATGTTATTTTACAAAATTTAAATTTTATATTTACCATGAAAACTTTTGAGGTGATGTCATGGTGAGGATGATGAGGTAAATTTTGGTTACCGTTTTACCATCTATCCGATTCATTAATACGGTTCACAACAATCACTCCAATAGCTTTGAGGATTATCTGATCTTATTAAATTCCTTCCATCAAACTTTAGACGGGGGACCGATTTTTTCGTACTTTAGGAGTCATAAAACGTCGAGAACACATCAAATTGACAGTCTCTCGGATGAATCCTATTGCAGTACATACTTCCTTACCTTATGAACGGAAAGTAAAAACACCATTATACGGTTGGTTCCATTAAAAAAAGGCTTTGATGGCATCATATCCGTATCAAAGCAATAAATATTATCTTTATTGCGTACATATATAAATGTTGTGAATGGGTACACACCTTCCATATTGCTAAATGATCAGTTCGCCCCTCCATCAATATGTCGCCATTCTCGTCACGTGCGAACATGGCACCTTCTTGAAATTTACAACCTACTGGAAAGTGGATTAAGTATAAGTCGATACAATCCATCTGAAGATTAGACAGAGATTGTTTGATAAAGTAATCAACTCTTGCGGGATGTACACCAAAAATAGGGAGTTTGGTAGTAATGAATGTTTCTTCTCTTTCCAGTTTTCCAGATTTGAACCATTTCTGGAGTGTGTTCCCTATTATTTTTTCATTACGGTAAAAGAAGGCCGTGTCTATATGCCTATAACCCGTTTGGATTGCCGAATCAATTACTTTTTCCAGTTCTTCACCTTTCTCTGGTGGCTAATGATGGATATTAATACGTATGGACATTTTTCTTTTACTCACAGCACCAGTGTTGCTTCCAAATCCAACTGATGGAAGTTTTGAACCGTTCAATAGCAACATTTTAAAATAGTTCGAGTGAACCACAAAATACATTTAATGTGGTTTCTTATCGTTGCGTGATATACTATGTGGTCTCATTATTTTAAATTAACGTACGATAAGCCAAACATTAAGGTATAAACAATAAAATACAATAAGTACCTACATAATGTTTATTTACCAAGAAATACAAAAAAATATTTAAAGTGAATCAATTGAGACACCACAACCCCCCAAATCTGTTAAAACCGCATCAAACTCCTTCAATTTCAATTCTTCCATGATTTTCTTCACTACCACCTTATCAAAGTGTGGTGGCACTAAACAAATCGCATACCCGCCTCCACCAGCCCCCGTAAGCTTCCCATGCAATCCATTGTTCGATAACACAAAGCAAATTTCATCTAACTTTGGGTGAGACACTCCTAGACATCTTAATAGATTTTGATTCAGATCCGTTAATTCCTAAAAGCAAGTATTTGTTAAAAAAATAATAATAATAATACCGACAGAAACTTACACCCAAAGTTTCATAACTGTTCAACAATTCAAAGTCGTTTAACGTTTTTGTATTTATCTTTTGCATGCACTGGAGAGCTCTCGTTGTCACTTGATCCATACTGTTTAATATTCCATCAATAATCGATTTGTATTTTTCGCGCCTTTCAGCCACCATGCTAACCAATCGCTTTGTATCACGTGGCAACTTCGTATTAATTAAAATCGTGGTAAATTTTGTTGCCAACTCGATTAATAGCGGCAAGGTGCCTTTCCGAAACTGCACCAAGCCTCCGTAGGTACAAATCGTGTTATCAACGCCTGCGACAAAACGACACTAATAAGTCCAAATATATAGCGAAAGAGTTTTACCCACCTGACGGTGTTCCGTGTATGATCCTCTCTGACTGAAAAGCCCATTTCGATATCAATTCCAGTTCTTTCTTATCGAAGCTCTCTAGATTTGGGTTCGTAATATTGAACCCTTTGTAATTGTCTTTTGGTTTAAGTTTGCGTAAGCGAATGAACTGGAGAAAGAAAGCTACGATCACGACAGCAAACGAAGCGGAACTTCCGGTCCCAGCGCTCACAGTCAACTCAGATTTCACCCTTAATTTAAAATGGGTTAGTTGGATGTTCATGGGCCCTAGGAATGCCCACAACAAATACAAAAATGAGGTGAAAGCAAGTTGTTGGTTAGCTTCGAGACGGTGAGAACCGGACTTTTCAGCGATGAAGGTCGCTATGGATGCGAGAATTTCCTCATGGTCAAGAAGTTCGGGATGGGTGAAATTGTACGTACAAGGTGATTTTATTAGCGGGAGAGGCTTGTCGATGAAGTCTTGAAGATCCTGTAGAACGTTTTTTTTACAGTTTGTGCTATGTTGTACACTTTTTATGCAAAAACCGATATAATTACTGTTTTATTGTTATTACTAGTGTTAGGCGGTCGGGATTTAGTTCTTCCTATTACCAATCGTACATTTTGTTCTTTTACTTTAGTTGTTTTTAGTTAATATGTAAAGTGCGAATTGCTTGTTTTTACATTAAGTTGTTACGATGTCTACATCGTTTACGATAAACATATTTTGCTGAATCACCGATTTTGGTGATAGTCTTTCTTTTATTAACGATGTTGTAACGTATGGGTGCATATACAGGGTTATCATAAATGATTGTAGTCGAAGTATGCGCTGACGCAATTGTTTTGATGTGCCGCTTCTTACTTTCAAAAAATTATTAATTAGAGTAATAATACTTTCCCGCGCACGTCTTTTTTACTTGCGTTGTTGTTCCAGTCTTCTTTGTTATAAATTAAATTGAATTAAACCAGTTTTTATAAAAACTACAACGATTGAAAACCGATTAAGGTAACTAGAAATGAATTAATGTGTACCTATTCATATTTCAAATAAATCTGTTTTAGGTCAAGATGGGGTACACTCTTGAACAAAATACGTTTATTGTTGTCTTACTATCGAAATGAGACGTTAAATACGGACGGGGAATGGGTGTATTCTGTTCAAGTTTGCAAGGATGAGTATTTGGCAAAATTTCCAGAATTAAACATTGAAGAACAGTCTTTAATGACACACATAAAAAGAATCGTTGACCGATTCAACAGCACTGGAAATGTTTCACCAGGAAGGCCTCCAGTTAGTGAAGAGGTCGTCGAAGATTTGAGGGAACGAATGGAGCAAAGCCCAAAAAAATCTTTAAGTAAACTGTCTTTGCAATCTGGTGTCCCATACACCACTTGTCAGAAAGTTTTAAAAAGAACATTACATATGCATCCCTATAAAGTATCGTCAGTCCATGAACTTATACCAGCTGATTATCCTCGTCGTGTTGCATATTGTGAATGGTTTCAAAACAACATGAACAACAGAGTTTTGGATTTGTCATTTTTTTCCGATGAAGCATGGTTTCATCTAAATGGCTACGTTAATTCGCAAAATTATAGAGTTTGAAGTGCTGAAAATCCTTTTGTTTTTGAAAAGAAGAATTCCTTGAGTACCCAGAGCAGTGATTATACTGTACCAAAAAAATTTTGTGATGCCTCAAATTGTAGACGAGCAAGAAAATGTGAAAGATTGTTGTTCATCTAACTCGTTTTCCAGACTTCATTGGCGCCTTGGACTGCATATGCACATATAAAAATTAAATTTACCAGGTATATGAATTTTTGTTAACATAGAACACAAAAAATGAAATAGTAAAAGTTATAGGTGGAGAAGATCCAGAAATTTTTAGAAATCAGGAAGATTATCTCTTGATTAATGTACAAGCCATATGTGATGAATTGATTAAATTTCAAATATTGTGGCACAATGATCAGTAGCTTCAAATGACAGTACTATTTTTAATCATTGTTCAGTTTAGGATCTGTTTGAAAATACACAACTGCAAAGTTGTGTGCTCTTGGATAGAATATTTTAAGAGAATTTTATTATATTATTATATTTCTAAGTAACAAGTTATCCCTTCAAAAAATACTTGTTGACACTGCTTATATATCCCGTTACTCCAGCACAACAACAACTCTATTATCAGTGACACATTGGAAGTCGCAATAGAATTGGGTGCACATTTGGGATTCTGAAATGACAGTTTCCTGTGTTAACAGTTGTGATTGTCGCTGTTGTTTTACAGAACATTTTAACACAGATTGTGATATTTGACAGTAAAAATTTATTGGTAATAAAATTATTTTTTTTTGTTGATTTCATTTATAGTGAAAAACATTAAAATTTATTTATAAACTAACAATATCTCATGTTATCGTTGCATTACATTAAAAATGAGCATTATTATTTGAAAATGGACTCTTTAATGTTGTTCGGTCCAATCAGGTAGACCGAAGGAGAAGGGGTGCAGCAGCCTCCACCCTCTCACTCACCACCTTCACTTGTAAATAAATGTACATAGTTGTTAGTAGGTTCGAATAAACCGTGAAGCAGAAAAGTCGTGTCTCACTGAAACTATATTTATAGTTTCAACAACATCATTTTGGTCATCCATTGTGACCACTTCATCATTTTGGTCATCCATTGTGACCAACATTTGTGGTCACCCACTATGACCTAACATTTGGTACTACGAGCCGGATCGTCACAATTTCCGTCAGGTCACCCATTTATGACCTAACAATTGGTCCTTCGCGCCGGATCGTCACAATTTCCGGCAGGTCACCCACTTATGACCTAACAAATGTTTTAATTTGAAGTAAGTACATTTAATTCAATGTCTGGTTTTAAAACCCTTTTCCTAAAATTAAATTCTTCAATTTCTCGTTCCTTCTTTTGTAGTTAACAACTCCTGCCCGAAATATTGGTTTTTTAATTTTGCCACTTCATAACCCTGCCACTGCTGTGAAATTATGTTGCCATGAACAGTCTCCATGACCTTTGCTCTTCTTCCACTAAACCAATTTTTAGTGGGAAGTGTGAAGTTACTGATCCATCAGCTTTCTAAAATTATTTGGAATGTAACACGCCAGTGGTCCTTAAAATAAACAGTAAATTTTCTATAGATAACAATGAAATGTATACTTACTTCTTTTGAGGTTGTTGGTAAATCATGACCACAGAACACTGACTACCACCCTGTTCAACTATGCTTTTCTGTTGAACATTGGAACCAAAACTGTGATGTCATCTTGTACCTAAACACACAGGATTTCCTCTGCACTATCTTGGCTATTTGTTGGTTTAATGCTTTCATTTTCCTCCCCACTATGTGAAATGTACGTCTCCAGTCTCCACAAGTGTTTTGATTTGTGATGTCCGTAACTTAACCAAAACAAGGATCCATTGTTTCAAATACTGGACGTGGTCCTTTTCCAATCTTTCTTCTTTCGGCCTCTTCGTCTGCGGCTGTTTTCCGGTCTTCATTTTTCTTGTTCTCGTACCACTTGTTTTTAGAATTTTTTTTCTATGGTAGCTTTGGATTCATATTCATAAACTTAATCCATAATTAAAACCTCCTCCGCTGTACAATTGGTTATTCGGCATTTTGTTGTTCCATATTTTTTTTATAAACTGCACGAACACAGGAGGCACGGGGGCACGGACACAAATGAATTTACGTAACACTTCTAAGCAGCCCCGTAGCTAGAAAACTTATTCAGGGGGGGCAAGTTTGTCGACAGAGGGGGCTTCATGTAAATATATATACATATTTTAATAATACTGCTTTATTTTTTCTCAGTTTTTACATTTTGAAAGAACATTAATATAATTGTAAACGTCGATTTTTTACGCTATTAAATTTTCGTAAAAACCTGTCGAAGTCCAAAGAATTGGTACGGTACTTTTCAAAAGCCAGAAAAACCAAGTTTGATGCGTCATTGAACGCTCCGGACGATTTATTCCGGTTAAAACAGAGAATGTAGATTCACAAACAGCTGTACTGGATCCAAAAATTCGTACAGTGGCCAAAAATACTAGGTAAGAACCAATTTGTTTGAGTTTATTGTTAGATATTAGAAAAGGGCGACCCTGTAGGTTTGCCATGACAACAAACAAGAACACATGAATAATTGTAAAAAAAAGTAATGAGCTGTCGTTTTTTTGTATTCTGTATTTTTGCGTTGTATTTCCTAAAGTTCATTAAAGCTTCTACGAGCACGTACCTCTTTATTCGTAATATTTATTTTTTTGCATGTTTAGTAGTAGGCTATGGAATAAAATATGACATGACAGTTGCTTTTTTTATACGGTCAACATTAACGTTAGGGTGATATTGCCAAATAATATACCCTGTAAGAAAATAAAGGGCGGGTGGGTGGGGCTAGTAAATATGCTTCAGCAATCGGCATTGTATTGAAATTTTATTACTAAATTGAAATTTTTAATGTGTAACTCTTCCAGGGGGGGCAACCACAACTGCTAGGGGGGGCTCAGCCCCATCTTGCCCCCCCGTAGCTACGGGGCTGCTTCTAAGTGTTAAGTGAAAGCGGTGCAGTTAGGCCTAAACACTTAAAGAATGTTTTATTTATTTTTGAAAATAACCTCAAACAGAGCATGACATTTAATTAATAGTTCGAATTACTTCGAACTTCGAACCGTATTATGAAGCGGCAACAGCAAAAAATTCATTTGTTTTCAAAGCCAAGTTGACTACAATCATTTATGATGACCCTGTATAGGTATCTACACTATCACTAAACATGTCATGACAGAACATATTACTTTACAAACACACAAACATGCCGTCAATCTACAAAAGGTGATTCTTTACAACGAATTATTTTTCGCTTTTATCACTGTAAATATACTTAATCCATAATTAAAACCTCCTCCGGTGTACAATTGGTTATTCGGCATTTTGTTGCTCCATATTTTTTTTATAAACTGCACGAACACAGGAGGCACGGGGGCACGGACACAAATAAATTTACGTAACACTTCTAAGTGTTAAGTGAAAGCCGTGCAGTTAGGCCTAAACACTTAATTAATGTTTTATTTATTTTTGAAAATAATCTCAAACAGAGCATGACATTTAATTAATAGTTCGAATTACTTCGAACTTCGAACCGTATTATGAAGCGGCAACAGCAAAAAATTCATTTGTTTTCAAAGCCAAGTTGACTACAATCATTTATGATGACCCTGTATAGGTATCTACACTATCACTAAACATGTCATGACAGAACATATTACTCTACAAACACACAAACATGTCGTCAATCGACAAAAGGTGATTCTTTACAACGAATTATGTTTCGCTTTTATCGCTGTAAATATACCGTTAAACAAACTTCAGAAAACCATTTTTAAAAATTCCTTTGGGAAATACACCACTCAATGCGTTTCAAATCAATCAACATAATGGAAAAAATTAGCGATTA